CGGAGAAGAGAATTAAAAGTGGTCCTTTGAGGATATCATTGAACAAACCACCAGAAAAATACAGAATTATTGTAACCTATTTCAGATTAACTAGTTCCCCAGTTTTTCTCAGTGAAGCTTCCTTAGGCAAGAAAGTATTTGTTTGAACTCGTCTGCTTTCCTGGGGTGAGGGAGAGGTTTAATTCAGCACTTCATGGAACACTTTTGAGCACAATATGTTGAGCAAAATACAAGTCTGTTTCAGAATTCACACTTCTCTAAATTTTGTGATCCAATAAAGAATAGGGGAACACAACATATGTTAAAATAGTGCACTTGCTGTTGGAAATAGCAACCTTCTCAAGCATTCACTATTTATTTGGATTACTAGATTGGATTACTGTAATGCGCTCTACATGGGGCTGCCTTTGAAAACGGCTCGGAAATTCCAACTGGTCCAACGGGCAGCAACCAGGTTGTTAACTGGTGCCCCTTACAGAGAGAGGTCAACCCTCCTGTTCAAGGAGCTCCACTGGCTGCCATTTATTTTCCGAGCCCAATTTAAGGTGCAGGTGCTTACCTTCAAAGCCCTAAATGGTTTGGGACCATCCTACCTGCGTGATCGCATCTCCGTCTATGAACCCACACGTTCACTTCGTTCATCCGGAGAGGCCCTGCTCGTGATCCCGCCTGCGTTGCAGGCACGCTTGGTGGGGATACGAGACAGGGCCTTTTCTGTGGTGGCCCCCCAACTCTGGAACACCCTCCCAAAAAATCTTAGATAGGCCCCTACATTGGCAGTCTTTAGAAAGAACTTGAAGACCTGGCTGTTCTGATGTGCCTTTCCAGATTAGGAATCTCCAATACCAAGTCCCAGAAGCACTTTAGTAGAACTAAGATTGCTGCACACTGCACTTACCCTATAATCCTTACATACCTCCTGTCACATCAGCACTTTTAATCTTGTACCCATTACTCTGGCCCGGCCCAATTTTATAGTGTCTTGATGTATTGTTTATTGCTTGTTGTTAATATTGCTTTAACTGTTTTTAATTTGCTTCAGGTGTTGTATTGTTGTGTTTGTGTTTTGAGGCCTTGACCTATGTAAGCCGCATCGACTCCTTCGGAAGATGCTAGCGGGGTACAAATAAAATAATAATAATAATAATTGTTATGTATATAATTGCTTACTGTACTGTAAATGTGTATTTGTTTGCAATTTCACTTTTAACTCTGCTGTGGGAGGGGCTACAGACCACGTGACCAGGTCTGGGCTTGTTCAGGGCTCAGACTCCACTTTAAAAGTAGCATGCCTTTAGAAGACTGTAGGAACAGATGTTTGCTTTAGACTTCAATGCAGGAATTGTTTGTTTTGGACTTCAGTAGGAACAGAATGCTGTACAGAAGCCATTAGACCAGGGGTCCTCAAACTATGGCCCAGGGGCCGGATACGGCCCTCCCAGGTCATTTACCCGGCCCTCACTCAGGATCAACCTAAGTCTGAAACGACTTGAAAGCACACAACAACAACAACAACAACAACAATCCTATCTCATCAGCCAAAAGCAGGCCTACACTGCCCATTGAAATACTAATAAGTTTATATTTGTTAAATTTGATCTTCATTTTAATTATTATATTGTTTTTAAAGTGGGTTTTTTTTGCACTACAAATAAGATATGTGCAGTGTGCATAGGAATTCATTCATTTTTAAAAAAATATATAATCTGGCCCTTCAACACTTTGAAGGACTATCACCTGGCCCTCTGTTTAAAAAGTTTGTGGACCCCTGCATTAGACTTTTAAAGAAAGATGCCCTGTGTTACGTACACAGAGAAACTACTTCAAATCTATTTGTAACTAGATTGCTAAACAAAGTACCTGTATGCTGAATACATGAAGTTTGTGAGTAAACCAACTACTTTGAAAGAAGTCTACTTAATTTTGTCTCCTGAGAGCATCATTTAAACCAAGAGGTTTTAAAGGAGAGCAGATGTTTTTGGGCAACTAAAAAGAACAGTTCTGAAACTCTGATGAATATATGTGTGTTTTGTGCATTGGCATATTTTTGTCCCTAACCATTCAAAGATATATCTAGGCACATCAGTTTAATAGTTGAGAAACCTAAATGCCTTGCATGAATGCTGGTAAATGCCATTTTCCCAAAAGATTTTGACTCTTTAACAGGTCATGCTTTTTATCGAGAGGTTATGACATCATTTTTCATAAGGTTATGACTTCTAACAAAGTAATGCTTTTCCAAAGATCATAAAATCCCCAAAAGGTTCTGGATATGTCTGTTTTCCAAAACATGGTGCACACATGATATTCAAAGTGAAAGTGTTTCTTTTGGGCTTTAATATTAAAAAAACGTTTTACTCTGCTGTTGTAGGAAAATCTATGCTTTGTGCAGGTAATGAAAAACTGATAGGATAGGATAGACATAGCCTGTATTCCGGAGACACACTTTTTGGATAAATATAAACATCTCTTAAATCAAGAAAAATAGTACAGCTATTTACTGCTTGTAACTTTAAAAAGTAGGGAATTGTTTTATATAAAAATTGAGCTACAGTTGGAGAAAGTATATGATAACCAGGAAGGCAGGATTCTAATGGTTTTATTTGTGGGGATTTATTCGCTGAATGCAAATACAAAAACATTTTACAAAAAACTATCAACAATTTTGGGAGAATATGGGGAGAAAGAAATTATTTGGCTGGGGTACTTTAATGGGGCAATGGACCATAATTTGAATTGAAACTGAGCAGGTAAGATCGTCAGCAATTAAGGCTCCGGAGAAGCACTCGCTTGGCTAGCAAGTGAGAAGCCAAGGGGGCCAAAGGTCACCGCAATGCATTCATGTCTGCAAAGGGTATTTAGCCTTGTAGCTGACAAGCAGGGATGTCAGTCCAACGTAGCTCTTTCCATGCAAACTTCTGTGGATTAACTTTGGCTTTTAGCAGCACGCTTCTGGCTTCCTTAGTCTGGGATTTGGGCCTTGTTTTCAACTGTTTTCCATGGACTCTTGTTTGACCATTGCTAAAGGATTATGCTTCATGTTTTTGCCTTTGGATCTTGGGAACTTTGTCTTTGCATTTAAGCCTTTGTATTGCCTATGGAACTTTTGCATTTCTTTTACTGTGTTTTGATTTTGCTTTTTTCTCAATAAACTACAAAACCTACAGCTTTGGTGTGGTGGTGTCTGGAGCAAGGTGAAAGCTACCCTGAGTTGCAACACTTTCCACGTTCCCTGCATGCTTTGCTGGAGATTTTTTATGGCCTTGTAAATTTGTTAAATTAGCCTCCCCACGCATAGGTGGTATCTAAATTTCCTACTTGACAGATGCAACTGTCTGCAAAGGTCGACAACAAACTACACAAAATTGGTCGGAAGCTCACTCCGTCCCGGGCTGACTTCGAACTCATGACTGGTCAGTAGTGATCTTAATGCAGCTGACACTCAGCCAGCTGCGCCAAAATCCCAGTGTTAAAGTAGGGTTTGCTAACAGAAAATCGCCATTGGAAGGTATTCTTGAGAAGGGGAATGAGAGTTTCATTTGTAGATTATATAAATATATATTAGAATACAATCTAGAGGACATTTGAATAAAAATTGCTATTATCTCCTGGTGATTAAAAAAACAAAATGATTACAGGACTAAGAAAGAAAAACTCAGAAATGTGCCTTTTAGGAATATATAGAGAATTAGCAAAGGAAATGAAGACATTTGTCAATATAGCTTTGTTGTAGCTAGACTGACAATAGCAAAATCGTGGAAAGGTGAAAAAGATCTATCCAAAAAGGATTGGAGAGAAAATTTATTAGAATACATTCAAATGGCCAAGCTATCTAAAGGTATCTGGGAATGAAATAATGAAGAGTTTGTTAAAAAGGCTGGCATTTGAATACATGGAAAGGAAACTAAAGTAGATATGAGGGTAGATTTTGTGAGATATGTGACTTACAGTGAGTATTGGGATCATGGGTGGGGGTTAAGGGGAAAAGCTGGATAGAATATTGCAATGTATTAGTTTGGGAAAACAACATACTTGTATTAGATGTATTTACTTATCTATAGCTGTTTCTCCTTTTTATATTTTTATCCCAAATAAAATTTATTTAAAAAAGAAAAAAGAAAGGAAAACCTGGATTTTTTACACATGTGCCCAATGCGACCAATTGAAATTAGAGAATCAGAGAGTGGAGCGATTTGAGGGTAGAAAAGGGTGGTGGGTGACGGCAGTTTTATCTGCTGTTGTTTTAAAATTGTATTCTTTTGATTTTATGCTTCATGTGTTGACGGCGGGATGTTGTTATAATTTTATGTGATTTATTTTATATTTTTGTACTAATTTTACCTGTTATATGTTATATGTGCACATTGGAGTGCATTGTAAGCCACCCCAAGTTCCTTGGGGGAGATGGTGGTGGGATATAAATAAAGTTTATTATTATTATTATTATTATTATTATTATTATTATTACTACTACTACTACTACTACTACTACTACTACTACCTAGGGCAGGGCAAGATGGATGGATGGTATTCCTGAAGTAACCGGCTTGACTCTGAAGGAGCTGGGGGTGGTGACGGCCGACAGGGAGCTCTGGCGTGGGATGGTCCATGAGGTCATGAAGAATTGGAAGCGACTAAATGAATAAACAACAAAGAACAGGGCTGTGGGTCCTGACCCCAAAGGAGGTCCCCATAGTTTCATGTTGGGTCCTGAAAAATTCTGAAGCAGTAAAACATTTCTGAACAATACCTGGTTGCTGTTTGAGACCTTTTCACAAATCTGTTGTACATTGTTTACAGTGGATTCTGCAGAAAATGCTTCAGCTGTACTTTATAAAAAGGAAAATTATCCTAGCAAGCCTTGTAAATACTGATTTATCGGGAGCCCAGAAGGTTTTTAAAAACTTGCTAGAGACATTTTTATCCAAAAGCAAAATTATATAGGTATGCACACCAGAAGAAAACAACATAATTGGTATTTTTTCTTCTTCCTTTTTTAGGTTCCTAAGAAATGCCATTCTTCTTACCTTGTTTGAATGTAAAGACTTTGGGATTTTCATGAAGCATCCTCAGACTGAAACCAGAATGACCATCCTGGAAGATTTTCATTTTGTAGTTCAAACGGATCTGGAAAAACAATAATATCATACCATTCCAAGCCTGCATACCAAAGACCTCTGAGAAATGACAGTTTTTGGTTTGCTTGTTTAAATGGTTCTTGGTGAGAGAGAAAAATGGGGGATCAGCAAATGTACAAAACAAACCGTGTTGTTAACAACAATGAAAACTTTTATTACCAGCAGCAGCAGCAGCAGCAGCAGCAACAACACTTGAATTCCCTCACACCATTAAATCATAGCTATGGAACACCGACCATGGACTCGACTCAGGATTCCCCCCTTTCCCCCTCATTCCCGCATGATACAAATGTTGGTTCCAAATCTCTTGGGCTGTTGGATTCTCCAAGGCAGGCAGGCTGGTCCCATTTGGGTTCTGGGAACCACCTCCCATTGAAAAACAATCAGAACGTCATGTGGAGTTCAGCAGCACAGAGCGAACCTATGGACGGATACGACCACCTGTGTTCCCAAACCAATGAAGTCAGGTCCCAGAAAATGCATAAATTGGACTCCTTTGCCCAAGCATTTAATAACCAGAACTTAAGAATCCAAGTCAACAATGTATCTCAGATCATTCAGTCTTCGGGAATGGAGAACGCTGGTGACAGTGCCCTTCGGCAACTGCTGTCTCAAAAGCCATCTGTGGAGATGCAGCCGGTCCAGAGATACCAGCAGTTGCCACAGCAAATCCATCAAGGGTTTGCGAGTGCCCAGCAGAAGCAACAAATGCTCTTAATGCAGCACCAGCAGCCTCTCTATTATGAGAACCAGCAACATTTAGCCCACCTACAGATGCACTCTGCGATGCACCAAGGCCAAGCCCACTTGCAGCAGATGCATTCCCAACACCTTCTGCCACAACAGCTGCATCAGGATCAGTACTATCTGCAGCAGCAGTCCCCCCACCAAGGGCAGCACAGGCTCTTGATGCATGAGATGCAGCAGCAGCAGCAGAGACAATGCCCAGTGCAAACGACTCAATATTATCCCACACAGCCTATGATGCAACAGTTACAACAGACACAACAGATGCAAATGCAACTTCCTCCCAGTCACAGAGATCCTGACCAGAGAACTCTGCATGAAACTCACCATTATTCCCAAGACCGGGGACACTCTGTGCAGCTTATCCAACTGGGATCAGTTCCTCAATACTTCCCCCAGGATCCACAGCAACCGTTCAGACATTTGTATCCACAAAATCTATTGCAGCAGCAGCCAGCAGGAGATGTCGGCCAGCCAAACCACTTCCAGAATGACAACAAGACTCAGGCATTGATGGACTCGCATCTTGGACTTCCTGGGGCAGAAGGAGCTGAGCATCCTCCACAGCAAGACATCTCTTCTGGTAATAACAGCATCCCTCATCAGCCTCTTATATCTCCAGCAAATGTCAACATGAACAACAGAGGATCTCAGCAGTTATCCCCAAACACAGTATGGGCTCAGGTATGTCAAAACTTTCCTTAAAATTTTCTTCTTTTGGATCGTTCAGTCTGGATATATGCAATGTAGACAGGACAATGTAGAAAGGGCCTTTTACCAAAGGCTGTTATGAATATTAAGTGAATAAGGCGTTGAACTTTTTATTGTTTCACTGCACTGGAAAGGTTACTGTTTTGGAACTGTGGTACCTAGAAATCCTCATCTAGCATCACTCCTGGCCATGAGAGGTCTGATCGATTCTGGAAATACCAGTTTTTTTAAAGTAATTTTTCTAAGCACTGATATTATTTGTTTACAGTCAACCTTTTACATTTGCCAGGACTAAAGGCGTAGGACCCTCTTGCAGGGATAAAATCACATTTTTTTTAAAAAGTTTCTTTTTTACTTAAAGGATCAACTCTCTAACCCTAGATCTGACAGCATGATTCCATGGTCAACTTCCAATTCTGAACGTGGTGACTCTGACCCCCCTCAGCTCCTGCCTACATCCTTAGGTGGTACAATTTGAAGTGTGCCCAGTAACACTGGACAAACATTACAGCCACAGGACCAGTATCAACTGTAGAAATCATGTCAGAAGGGGTCTGAGTGATTATATCCCCAAAGTATTTCACAACAATTTGCTAAATTGTTTATATACTGCTCTTGCAGGTCATAATGCACCCTCCCCCCTTATCTTGCTGGTTGATGTCATCAAAGGCTCCTGTGGGAAACTGTATTGGGCCATATTGAGCAACCAGGAAGCCCACATTCATGCCTGCTTTGAATAGGCACAAATAATCCCCTAATTGGGATTGCTGCTAGAACACTGCCATACAGCCCAGAAACCACACAACACTTCAATCCCCTCATTGACAGGGGTTGGGTAGGTATAAAATAAAGCCAGCACATAAATCATTATCTCCCTGTCTCCCCCTCTCGAAATGTCCTGCTTTTGATGATTTATACCAGCAGAACTTTGGAAGTGGCATCCCTAAACATGTCACATTTAGGATGGTGCTGAAAACGAGCATCTCTCTGCATAGGATTACCCTTTCATTACAGATCTGGGTTCTCTTTCTGGTTGTTCTCTCATTGAAGGGGAAGCAGGGTCACACTTTAGTCTTGAAATCAGTGTAGGTGCCACCCATATTTATTTACCCTATTTATTTATACCACACCTTGCTCAAACCTGAAGGGGACTCAAGGTGGCTTGCATATTGGCAATTATTCAGTGCCTTAGAGCGACAAACAATTCTAATGGCATTAAAATTAAGATTAATATTAAAAATTGAAATTAATACATATTAAACATTTTAAACATTACATTCAATATTAAAATCACGCCATCCATAATTGTAGTCCAGGGCCGTTCCAGTAGTCATTACACATATTCCATATCTAGTATTGCACTGCAGCTATTCTCCAAAGGCCTGATCCCAAAGCCACGTTTTCTCTTTCTTTCTGAAGGCCAGGCGGGAGGTGGCTGATCTAATGTTGCTGGGGAGGGAGTTCTACAGCTGAGGGGCCACCTGTCTTTCATCTCCACCAGTTACACCTGCGAAGAAAGCGGGACTGAGAGCAGGGCCTCCCCCAGATAATCTTAATCTCTGAGGTGGTTCATAGGGGGAGATATGTTTGTATAGCTAGCTGCAGGAACTATATGCATAAAGAGATGTTCTCTGCATGAAGGTGAATCTGTAATAACCTTGCACAACCATATGTGGATATAGATCTCTGGTACGAAATATTTAATTGCTAGGTTCGTGGATATTGGGTGCATCTATGTGGTCAGAAATGGCCAGAAAACAGGCAGCCCCAGGCTGTTTCCGTGGTCTCCCAAGGTCATTATTTTGTAACTATTTGTTCCCAAATGCTACCATATGCCTTCTAGTGGGTATGGGAGCATTTTTGCCCCCCTAGGTTCTGGAGTAGTTTTTTTAATAATAAGAAGTTAACAGGAAACAACTAGATGGTAGTTGAAAAAGACCTATCCTGGCCCCTAAAGGATGAGGAGTATGTCTATACACCCCTAGAAAGTTTTGGGGGACCAGTAATTTGTTAGACTTTTGCTGAGAGACATAGGTGGATTGTATAGCCCTGCAATCAGGGTTTTTTTTGTGTGAAATGAGATATTTATATTGGCTGTTATGTTTTATGTTATTCTTTCTGCAATTTTTTTTATTTTATGTTTTTGCACCTTAGAGTGCTTTGTAACCTGCCCAGAATCCCTCTGGGAGATGGTGGCTGCGTATAAACAAAGTTTATTATTATTTATAAGGTCCCCTTCAGTTCCATAGTTGTTCCCCTTTCTCTAAAGAGAATTATTTGAAAGAACTCTGTGTTTCTGTGCACAGATCATTTTACCACATGCTTATATCTCATTACTTTCTTTTGCAACAGATGCACCTCTCTGAGAGCAGACACCAATCAGTTTCTCCTGAACAAAGGTACTGTATTTGTTCAATATCAAACACTTCCATCTGTCCATGTAACACCCTTACAGCTGATGTTTTGGGGTGTCTTGTGCTTTTTATACCAACTCTTGACCAGTTGTTTTTGATAGCAGATTGTTTCAGTGCATTGACAGAGGGGACTGATGTAGGGAAGAGAGTTTGTGAAGATGGCCCTTAGTGATCTTGTTCTACCAAACTTGCTACTTATTAGACTGTAGAGCAGTGTTTATCAACCTGGGGCTCAGGAACCCTTGGGGGGATCGCAAAGAGGATGTCAGAGGGGTCACCAAAGACCACTAGAAAACACAGTATTTTCTGTTTGTCATGGGGGTTCTGTGTGGGAAGTTTGGCCCAATTCTCTCATTGGTGGGATTCAGAATGCTTTTTGATTGTAGGTAAACTATGAATTCCAGCAACGACAACTCCCAAATGTCAGGGCCTATTTCCCCCAAACTCCACCAGTGTTCACATCTGGGCATATTGAGTATTCATGCCAGGTTTGGTCCAGATCAGTGCCTACTAGACCTTTCCAGTATTTTCTGGTGGTCATGGGTGTCCTGTGTGCCAAGTTTGGTTCAACTCCATCATTGGTGGAGTTCAGAATGCTCTTTGATTGTAGGTTAACTATAAATCCCAGCACCTCCAACTCCCAAATGACAAAATCAATCCCCCTCCCCCCCACCAGTATTCATTGGGTATTTGCCCCAAATTTGGTCCAGTGACTGAAAATACATCCTACATAACAGATATTTATATTAAAATTCATAACTGTCGCAAAATTACAGTTATGAAGTAGCAACAAAAATAATGCTATGTTTAGGGATCACCACAACATGAGAAGCTGTATTAAGGGTCACGACATTAGGAAGGTTGAGAAACACTGCTGTAGAGGAAACCGCTATTCAATGTATTCATGTTTGCACCTGAAAGACCACCACAATCTTTTCCCTTCCATGATTAAAGTCGTCCTGGAAGTATGTAACAACATTTTCTATCTATGAAAGCGATCACTTGAATGAAAACAAAATGTGTTCTCTGTCTCCAATGACCTTATATCCTTAATTTTACAGATTTGCTGATTGCACATGAGACATGTTGTTATCTCTCCTAAAATTGCTTCAAAAGTGTTTGGTGCACACATATGTTTCCATCACACACTCTTGAGGTGCCTTTCTGCTGAAAATTTTAAGTGTGACCATATAGTCTTTTCCCAAGTTCGAGTTCTTGTTCCTGCATGGATTATTTCCATAATTTCTCACAGTTAATAATTTGAAGTCATTGGCCTTATCTTCATTGCGTTATTTTATCTTTTAAACATTTTAATAGCAGTTACTTTAGAAAAAAGAATTTGATACTTTGTACATTCCTTGAAAGCTCATAAAGATAAGGTTTGTGATTGTTCTACAGTGGAAATATTTCTATAACCTCTCAATAGATGCATGGACGGATGAGAATCTGGAATATTGCTTTAATGGAAAAGCTGGTTTTCTCTACTTATGATTCAGAAATGAAAGGAAAAAAACCCAGAAGAACAGAAATAATACTTTCAATGCTTGGTTTCTATTTACCAAATTTATTAATAGTTCACTAGAATTTGTTGTTTTGCCAGAATCACATTTAATTTTTTGGACTTTATGCAATCTCCAGAAAGCACCCAGTATTTAATTTAAGTTTCCCAGTATTGTGTATTTCTTGATGTTTGTTTCATTACTCTTTCATTAATTTTTTTCAAAAGATAAACATTAGTTTGAGATAGGTCTCCCTGCGGACAAATCTTTTCATGTTAATTGAGATAGGGTTTTGGCTGTATTTCCTACCTGCATTCCACTATGTAAGGACAGAGAGTATATTCTGCATTACTGAGAGCATAGCATGCCTACAAAGAAGATCTGAATTTAAGATGCCTTTGTCCATGTTCTCGCCTTGTGCTTGTTTACAAACCATCCACAGTTCATGCATCGATCAAAACTACTGGCCAAGGAACTGTGCTTCTTTAACTAAACGGCAGCCATCTTCAGAAATTCTGCATTGAGCAAACTGGTGGGAGAAGTTTGTGTGGCCAATACTGCTCTCCAAGGCATCCTACAACATGGCTTTTGATGCCATGGAGAAACCCAGTATGAACAAAGCAGTCTTGCAGAACATCTTAGCATGGACGAGCTATTCATTTTTTATGTCCTGTAATGGAGGGCTGCAGAAAGATCCTTAAGGAGAATACAGAACCCCATGTACCTGTGAACATGCAGCATTTATTCATTTCAGAGGCTTCAAGGAGTATTTCTAATTACTAGTCTAAATATAATGGAGAACATGGAATCAGAGAGTTAAAAACAGCCTGAAGGACCAGTATTTTAAATACCCATATTTTGCAACCAGTCCTTTTGATTTTGATGCATTTAATTTCAGCACAGATGAGATTTGTCTTTTGTATATTTTGAATCCTTCCACAGGATTGAAAAGGCTATTTGATTTCAATGTATGATCAGTGAGCACAGGAAACAATTGGATACTGAGTGATGGGTCAATAAACAGAAAATAATAAATAATAATAAATACTTTATTTATAGACCAACCTCTCTCCCTGAGCAGTTTACATACAAAAAGGCAAGCATTCAATGCCGCAGTCAACAAAATGCATAAATCAACAATAAAACTCAGCAACCCACTGATTCTGGCCATGAAAGCCTTTGACAACAAATCCAAAGTGGATTATAACTCTCTTTATAACACAACTGTTGGGACTGTTTTGGCTCAAATTGAGACAGTATTCGAAATCATAGATTTCTCCTTTTATTTGGTATGCAAACATTAATCATAATTTACTGTTTCAGACATTTCAATTTTCAAAGCAGTTTTGAAATGGAAACAGAAGATGGCCTGAGCTAAGCCTATAACTTCATATAATTATAACTTATTTATTATGTATGTTGTTTTTAAAATGTTATTTATTGTGTAGCATTGATTTTTTGCTGTTACTGGCCGTTCTGAGTCCCTCCACGGAGGTAGAGAAGAACGGGATATAAAAGTTCTAAATAAATAAATAAAAAATCAACAATTATGTGGATTGGATCTATATACATATCATAAGCATGTAATCTGGTGCTGAATCTAGAATTTTATACAAGTATTTATATCTGGATGAATATAAAGTACTTGCTAAATTCCCTGTGGTAATGATGCTTTCATGTCTTTGTCTCTTGTGTTTGTGTCTTTCTCACAGTAACAGTGGTCATGATAAAGAAACTTACATTGAAAGATCTGAAGCAAAAAGCAAACTAGCCTGCTCTGTATGCTTGAAGGAGTTTAAGAGTTTACCAGCCCTCAATGGACACATGAGGTCTCATGGAGGGATGCACGTATCACCTATTTTCAGACAGGTAACTGTATATTCCCTTTTTTTGTATTTTGCCTTTCCTTGCTAAAGTTTGTTGCTTGCTTTGCTTTGCTTTTTTCTTTTTCAGACTTGTACAAGTTTTTGAAATGATCTTACTGTTCACCTAAAATATGTCTTCCTTCAGCTTTTCTTTCATGGAATCATAGGGTTGGAAGAAGCCATGTTGGTATCCCAGTCTGTTGAAATACTTCCAGAAAAGGAGACTCCACAATCCTCAGAGGCTGTGTATTACGCTGCCAAACAGTTCTTACCTAATTATTCCTAATGTTTAGGTGGAATCTCTTTCCCTGTATTTTTAATCTATTGTCCTGTGTCCTAGTCTGCAGAGCAGCAAAGAACAAGCTTGCTCCACCTGTAGTATGAAACCTTTCAAATATTTAGACATAGCTATCATATTCCTTCTTAATATTCTCTACTCCAAGTTGAAGATACTCAGATCTCTAAGCTTCTCCTCATAGGGAATGATTTCCAGATCATGTATCATTTTCATAATCCGCAGGACACAGTAAAAAATCTCAGTATTCTTGAAATGTGTCCAAAACTGAACCCCAAAGCAAAATAGAGTGGTATTATTACTTCGACACCATGCTCCCATTGATGCACCCTGGAATTCCAATAGCTTTTCAAACTGATGCATCACACTGTTGACTCCTGTTCAGATTGTGGTCTCCTTTAACTCCTAGATCCCTTTCACATGTACTGTTTTTGAGCCAGGTGTCACCCATCTTATATCTTCATTTCGATTTTTTCTGCTTGGCTGTCATACCTTGCATTTCTCCCTGTTGACATTAATTTCATTCATTCCATTCATTTTGGCCAAGCTCTCAAATCCATTAAGTCTAGTTGAATTCTGATCCTGTTCTCAGGGGTATTATTAGCTATCCCTGGTGTCATCTCCAGATTTGATCTGCATGCCCTCCATTCCATCATCCAAGCCATTGATAAATATGTTGAAATGCACTGGGCCCAGGACAGAGCTCAGTGGAACCCCACTGGTCACTTTTCTCCAGGATGAAGGGGGGCCGTTGGCAAGCACGCTTTAGTTTGTTCAGTCAACCAATTCTCAAACCATCTAACAGTAGCATTGTCTAGTCCACATTTTACTATAGCTTGTTTGCAAGAATATTGTGGGGAATCTTGTCGACACCCATACTAAAAACAAGATAGACTACAACTACAGCATTCCCTCTATCTACCAAGCTTGTGACTCTGTCCAAAAAAGGAGATAGGATTAGTCTGGTATGACTTCTTTTTTGAGACTTTTAGTGATCACAGCATTTCTTTCTCATTGCTTAGAGACTGTTTAATATACTGCTCTAAAATCTTTCCTGGAATTGATGTCAAGCTGATGTGGCAGTGATTGTCTGGATCATTTTTCTTCCATTTTTGAAAATTGCCATAAGAGTCCCTGTTTATGCTGCCTTTGGCATTCCAGTTGAGAACCGTCTGTGGGTTGAGGGTGAAAAAAACCTTTGGTTGTCTGTACAGGAGGAAGGCAAGATTGTGCCAGAACAACAGCAGCAGCAGCAGCAGCAAGAACAGCTGCCCTCCGAAGCGGAGAGCTTCATGCCCATCGTCATGCCAGTTTCTGTCCCTGTAAAGCTTCTGTCACCCGAGGCCAACATGCAGGCCGCTGAAGGCGGTGCCGCACTCAGAGATAAGCCTGTCTCAGACGATGAGATGCCTGTCCTTGTGAGGATGACTTACTCTCCACCACACTCCCCTAAAGCCGTCAGCCCCTGCGTGTCTTCTGTGAGTGTTTTCTCACCACTAACCATGCCATGGATGCCGAATAAATCCTTTTGTGTTTTTTCAAGTTTTGAACATCCCTGTTCAGAAATGCCCAGGTTCCTACTAGTTTATTGAAAGATAAAGTTAAAGGTTTCCCTTGACATTAAGTCTAGTCGTGTCCAACTCTGGGGTTTGGTGCTCATCTCCATTTATAAGCCAAAGAGCTGGTATTGTCCATAGACTCCTCCAAGGTCCTGTGGCCAGCATGACTGCATGGAGCTCTGTTACCTTCCCACAAAAGCAGTACCTATTGATCTACTCCCATTTGCATGTTTTCTAACTGCTAGGTTGGCAGAAGCTGGGGCTTACAGCGGGAGCTCACCCCACTCCCCAGATTTTAACTGCCAACCTTTCGGTCAGCAAGTTCAGCTCAGCGGTTCAACTTGCTGTGCCAACAGGGGGCCCAGTTTATTGAAAACTAATGCATAATTTCAAGTTTTTTCATGCTCCAATATTTCTAGAGTAACATAAAGGGATTTATTTCCTGTCAGTGTTCTGTGTGCCTCTTTGTTTTAGCATTGTTGCCTCTATGTTTTCTTCTCAAGAAGGGGTTGGACGGGCCTTTTGCATGATACTGTTTCCTGAAGACAATTAGTTTGACAAGAATTGATTGGTCGCCAAAAACATGTTGGTTTTCTTTGCATACAACATTGTGCAGTACAAGCACATTATCCACAGATCTGTTTCAAGACCCCCCTGTGGATATCTGAAACCGCGGGTAATAGCAAGCCCTATATTTTGAGCATATTTGGGCTGGAAGCATACCATGAAATCATACTAGTGGGCTTAGAGAGGCCCACAAACCCTTCCAGAGGGGATATTATTTGGACTGTGGGTCAATGAAAACATGGGATATTGAAACCATAGCTCATGGGGTGGTAGTACTGTATTGTTTTTCTCAGTTTGTTAATGGACATCTATTATGAGTCTTAATTATACTGGTTGGCATCCAGTTTAGTGGCATATGTGTCCTTTTGATCATTTGTAGAGACTGGTATTCTCTTTCATAACAATCTTTAGACACCTCCCATTTGCATGTCACTTGAGAACCCAGTGTTGGATAATCCGTATATAACACTATGTAACATGATCTTTGTTCCTGATTTATAAATGTCATTTCCTAATTGGTCTAACATAAAAACATGGAAAAAGTTAATTAAACTGCAAAAACTTGGTATTCACAGGACATCCTGCAGCACATTTTGCTGTAGTTTTTCAATGGAAGTCTCCTCAAGTCTCAACCAATTTGATATAGTTTGTGGCAGCCACAAAAACAAAGTTGCTGGAGTATAACAGCTACTTTCAAAGTATATACCACACAATTAAACAGGAATGACACTTTCAAATCAGGAACAGAATTTTTTTTCAAATTTTGTTACATAGCGTAATTAATTCAGTCACATTATAGGTATAATATTTAAATGCTATACATTCTGTTCAGGATCTCAGCGAAAAACACAATGAGAGCACCCACAACTCTGAAAGCTTCAGGTCTTTCCAGGACAAGAAGAAACACCGCCACAGGCCCGAACCACTTTTCATACCACCTCCTTCCTTCAACCTCAGCGTGTGTCACTCAGGTGCAACACTCTACCAAAGCCAGCTTCGCTCTCCCCGGGTTTTAGGAGACCATCTGCTTGACAGAATCCACGATCCTCCTCCTTACACCCCTCCTCCCATGCTCAGCCCCGTACGCCAAGGATCCGGCCTCTTCAGCAGTGTTATCGCATCTTCTCTTGGTACATCTCAGCCCCAGCTGCCACTCACGCCTCTGACGCCCACTCCTCGGGTACTGCTCTGTCGATCCAGTAAGTATGCTGTGCTCTGTTATAAATATATCACATATAGATTGATTATTTCTTATCCTGAATAACTTTGGACCAGAAATTTTAGACTGGTGTGGATTTTGAAATATCTTGGAGATGTACATAATGAAATATCTTGGAGATGGGGCCCAACCCTGTCATTAATGTTTCATATATGCCTCATACACATAGCCTCGGGGTAATTTTAGACAGTGTTTTCAATTTTTTTCGTGTCAGGAGCAACTTGAGAAACTGCAAATCGTTTGTGGTGTGAGAGAATTGGTGGTCTGCAAGGACGTTGCCCAGGGATACCCGGATGTTTTACCATCCTGTTTTGTGCATGAAACAAAATTTGCCTACATTATTTATTTATTTCTCGTGTCAGGGCAGCCAGTCAGTTATATTACATTTCTGACATAACAAAGCAAACAAACAGAGAAAATACAGAATGTGTGAGTTTGGTGGTTGATTAAATGTCCTTTGACCAGTATCTGGCCACTTGGAGTGCTTCTGGTGTTGCTGCAAGAAGGTCCTCCATTGTGCATGTGGCTGGGCTCAGGTTGCATTGCAGCAGGTGGTCTGTGGTTTGCTCCTCTACAAAGTGGATTCCACTTTGTAGCCCCATTGCTGAAGGTTGGCTCTGCATCTTGTGGTGTCAGAGCGCAGTCTGTTCAGCACCTTCCAAGTCGCCCAGTCCTCTGCCTACATTGAACCACCGGAAAGCAAAGGTGCCACTGTCTCAGCCACCTATGTGGACAGTTTTGGATTTCCAATATTTTGGATTTTGGAATTCATGATACGTGATATTGAACCTGTAATGTTGGTGTTGCTCTGTTCTATATTGGTTGGTTCATCTTGCTTAAGGATCATTGAGATTTGACTTGTGTTCCTCACAGTGAACTAGTTTGGATGACCATTAAATAAACCAGGGATGTGTGAGGATCCTGGCTTATCACATATGAACTGTGTCCTGGTTTGTGCTTCCCAGTTAATCACAGTTAAATTGGATTAACAGGAATAGGCTGCCGTGGGAAGTCTGGGAGCCCGTTCCTGATGAGAGATCCCTACAATCTGTTTAAAGCAGGGGTCCTCAAACTTTTTAATCAGAGGGGCAGGTCAAAGTCCCTAAAATTGTTGGAGGGCCGGATTATAATTTGAAAAAAACATGAATAAATTCTTATGTAAACTGCGCATATCTTATTTGTAGTGCAAAAAACACTTAAAAGCAATACAATAATTAAAATGAAGAATAATTTTAACAAATATAAACTTATTAGTATTTCAATGGGAAGTGTGGGCCTGCTTTTGGCTAATGAGACAGGATTGTTGTTGTTGTGTGCTTTCAAGTCATTTCAGACTTAGGTTGACCCTGAGCGAGGACCGGGTAAATGACCTTAGAGGGCCGTATCCGGCCCCTGGGCCTTAGTTTGAGGACCCCTGGTTTAAAGAGTGCTTTGCTCTTCTTGGAGGCCTTACCAAAGAATTAGTCAGATTTTAGCCCCTCTTTGAGCTCATTGATACCCTTACTCCACTACTCTCCAAAAGAGCCAGTCAGATTTTCACCCCTTTTCCAATCCATTAGTCTGCTTGCCCCATTCCTCTTCCTGCCAATCATGTCTTGTGCTTTTGATTTGTTTCATTTAAAGTTTCCCTAGAATGAATCAAGCATAGCTGGGAAAAAGGAAAAGTGAAGGGTGGTTCCACTTTTACATTAAAAGCCATATTCTTGTTTTTCTTCCAGATAGCATTGATGGCGACAAAGTCCCAGTGATCCCAGGACCTGGAGAACAGACCATTGACATAGAGCCGTAAGCTTTTTACATTTTATTTTATTACTACTGAAAACCTTAATTCAATTCAAATGAGAGAATAAAAACAGTATATGAGTTAACACAGTTAACAGAAAACAGTGACATCAACCACTGATTTCTGTAACATATTGTCATGTTCAACCTATGGTGTCATTTTTAAAGATCCGTGTCAAGCCAGCAAACGTACATATAAGTCCATTATAATTTACATTATAATAAAAGAGAATGTCTGCATGTTTGCGAAAGCTGCAAATCACTAACTTTTCCAAAGTTATTATATTTTAACTAGATGTACCACCTGGAGAAATGCAAAAATGGGGTGATAGTCATGATTCCTTTGAGTATGGTAGAAGATGGCTCAAACTTTCATGAAGTATTTTTGGCTGCTATCCAACATACATATTTTCACACGGGTTTTAAGCAGTTATTGCCAGAGCTGTGAAGTCTTTCCTGCTTCATGTTGCAATTAAATTTAGCTCATTAATTGATAATGCATGCAGGTGTTGTTGTTAGCAGATAAACCTTCCTATCTTCTACTTACCTTGCTCTGTGGGAATAACATCACATTGAGTGCTCAGCTTCCTTCCTTTACTAAAAAACCAATGCATTTTAAACTACAGATGGTTTTACTTTTATGCCTTTTGCTCTCTATTTTGATTATTCCTTCTTTATCAGCATAATATTTGAATGTAGTTTAGAAGATACATACGTATTTTCATATCATTTTCAAATGCCTATTACCTGAGATGTGAAGTCTTTCCTGCTTCGTGTTGCAATGGAATTTCACTCATTCATTGGGAATGCAGGGCGGTGTTGTTACTAACAGATAAAACCCTCCTTTATTCTGTTCATCTTGTTCTATGTGATTGACATCACCTTCACTGATCAGCTTCCTTTCTTTCAGTTCATTATAAAATACCGATGAAGGCATTGTTTTTATCTTTTCTGCTCTCTATTGGGACTTCCTTTCTTGTATAAGTGGTTGTTTCTTCTATTCAGCCTCTATATTGAAGGCTTTGCATACTTACACAGATCGCAAATCACACATTTGGCCTTCCATCTTTTAACTCTTTCTGTTTCTCTAACTGATTCCAGACGCATCAATATTGGATCCAGATTTCAGGCTGACATCCCAGAACTTAAAGACAGAGCCTCGTTAAGGAAAGAGAATCACAAGGCCATCTTAGTTTGGAAACCATGTTTGCAACTGGAAGACAAAGATTTCCAACAAAAGGGTACGATGGTGTTTCCATTTCTAACTCACCACTATGTTCTTCCAGTGTGCTCTTTATTTTCTGGTTTTCTTAGGGACCTTCCTAGAATTCAGTCGTGATGAAATTCATATTATTCCAGTGTTATTTAACAATAACTTTTGTTAGCATTGCATTCCAGAAAGGTAGGGATTAGGAGTTCTGTCCAGTGGAGTTCCTTTGTTGGCTAGAGCAATGGGTCTTTGTGAATTTTCTTTGATTGTTCCGAATTGAGACAAGAAATGCCAGACTAATCTGGTAGAGTTGGGTAGATGCAGGGAACGCTGTGGATGTAGCATGTCGGGATTTCAAGAAGGCCTTCGACAAGGTCCCCCATGAACTTCTGGCAAACAAATTAGTCAAATGTGGGCTAGGCAAAACTATGGTTAGGTGGATCTGTAATTGGTTAAGTGAATGAACCCAGAGGGTGCTCACCAATGCTTCCTCTTCGTCTTGGAAACAAATGACAAGCGGAGTTCTGCAGGGTTCTGTCCTTGGCCTGGTCCTGTTCAACATCTTTATTAATGACATAGATGAAGGGTTAGAAGGCATGTTCATCAAGTTTGGAGATGACACCAAATTGGGAGGGATAGCCAATACTCCAGAAAATAGGAGCAGAATTCAAAACGATCTTTAACAGATTAGAGAGATGGGCCAAAACTTAACAAAATAAAGTTCAAAAGGGACAAATACAAGATACTCTACTTCGGCAGAAAAAAAGGAAATGCAAAGATACAGAAAGGAGAACGGCTGACTTGACAGCAGCATGCGTGAAATAGATCTTGGAGTCCTCATGGACAACAACTTAGACATCAGCCAACAATGTGATGCGGCGGCTAAAAAAGCTAATGGGATTTTGGCCTGTATAAATAGGAGTCAAGTGTCTAGATCCAGGGAAGTCATGCTACCCTCTATTCTGCCTTGGTCAGACCACGACTGAAATATCGTGTCCAATTCTGGACACCACAATTGAAGGGAGATGTTGACAAGCTGGAATGTGTCCAGAGGAGGGTGACCAAAATGATCAAGGGTCTGGAGAATGAGCCCTATGAGGAATGGCTTAAAGAGCTGGGCATGTTTAGCCCGAAGAAGAGAAGGCTGAGATGAAACATGATGAGAGTCATGTATAAATATGTGAGGGGAAGTCATAGGGAGGAGGGAACAAGATTGTTTTCTGCTGCCCTAGAGACTAGGATGTGAAACAATGACTTCAAACTACAGGAAAGGAGATTCCACCTGAACATGAACATTAACTATTCAGCAATGGAACTCTCTGCCCAGGAGTGCAGTGGAGGCTCCCTCTTTGGAGGCTTTTAAGCAGAGGCTGGATGGCCATCTGTTGAGGGTGCTTTGCTCTCATTTCAATAGAGCAGTGGTTCCCAACATGTGGTCTGTGGACCACCAGTGGTCTGCAAGAACTAAAATATGGTCTGCGGCCTCACTGTTCCTACACTGTTGCAACGAGAGCAACTGGTCTTGCAAAACCTCTTATAGTGCCGAGGCTTATTAAAAATGGTTTTCTGTGGGTGAGCAGATGGCGAATACTGGATGGCATATATGTTCTGTATCAGAACTAGAGCTGATGTGGTCTATCTAATGCAGTTTTCTGAATCAGCACCTCAAATAACCGAATCAAATCTAAAGTTGGCCAAAAACTGATTCGTAATTCTTTTGGAACTAATGTTGGAGAGTGGTCCCTGGTCAAAAAAAGGTTGGAAACCACTGCAATAGAGTATGGGTATATTTCTGATGTGTTAGTAGATTGTTGTTTTCACAGAAAGAAGGGGGGGGGGGAACAGGGAGGAGTCCAATTATTGGGTTAAGACGGCCAACCCGGTAATTAAGTACAAGTTCTGGTTTGCCAAGGAAATGTTTTACAGTTATTTCAAGTTACTGCTAAGTTCTCATTAGACTGACTGGTTGGAAATGTATAGATTCATCTACCTGCATCAGCTTGTTTGAGGGCATGATTTGCACTTGAATGTATCTCACCAATTTTATGCAATGCACACAGCCATTATTGTTGCATAAAAGTAAATGCTGCCTCCAAGCTACACAGTTATATAAATATGATCCCACTTTAACTGCTATGGTTCTGTCCTATGCAATATTAGGCTTTGTAGTTTAGGAAGAATAATTTATAATTCCCTGCCACTGAGTTCTAGTACTTCAGCAAATTGTGGGGGCAGGCGCTTAAAGAGAATGTGGAGCACAGTCTCAATGATCTTATAAAAAGGTAAAGGTTTCCCCTTGACATTAAGTCTAGTCGTATCTGATGCTGGGGGTGGTGCTCATCGCCATTTTTAAGCCGAAGAGCCAGTGTTGTCTGTACACACCTCCAAGGTCATGTGGCCGGCATGACTGCATGGAGCGCCATTACCTTCCCGCAGAAGCGGTGCCTATTAATCGACTCGCATTTGCATGTTTTCGAACTGCTAGGTTGTGCAGAAGCTGGGGCTAACAGCAGGAGCTCACCCCACTCCCCAGATCTAACCACCAACCTTTCAGTCAGCAAGTTCAACAGCTCAGAGGTTTAATCCGCTGTGCCAATAATATGATCTTATCATACTGGAGCAAAACTGAAGAGCAAAATTACAAAAAATACATTTTTAAATGCAAGGAGCAGAGTGGTTTGGAGATTAGTCAATCTCCGATTTCTGCCTGCCTATATAGAAACTAAAAATTTTCCCACAGAGAACACAAACATGGTACAGGGCCCAAACAAAGCAAAGAAATAAAGAAAAGGTGGACAGCAATAATAGGCAACAGATCAACGCTTCTCAAATTTGCTGGAAAGACAGAGAGAGAACCTGCCGAGAGACCTTCCAAAGATCAATGGGGTGGATTCTGCATCAGTTAATCTCCTGAGAGGCATCAAACAAGGCCTGGAATTAATACAAAAAAGACAACACTGGTCACTTTTGATTGATCATGTCAACAATAACTCACTGCAGCGGCAACTGGACATCTGGAAGGACAGATTCTCCCCTCCAACTTGATGGGTGCCTAACAAATTCTGCAGACAGAGCACTTGAATCAAGCATGAACTAAATGATTTTCTGTTACATATTTAGCTGACACAAATAGAAAGAAGCAACCTGCTGTTTCTCGATCCGTGTCCTACGCCTACATTTGTCTGCCTTTCATTATGTATTGTTCTTATTTCTTGTTAAAGAAAGAACAAACAAACCCAGAATTCTGTAGGATGCAGTCATGGCAGTTGAGGTGGAATCACAATGCTATAATTATATAGTGTGAAAGGGACCCATATGTCTCTCTAGATGAACACCTTCCAAACTATTTCATCCTGATTAATTTCCTCCAGACTTGCTTCATTACATCACACACACACACACACACACACACACACACACACACTCTTGCTTACATGCACTTATTTTATTTTAATTTAATTCTTGGCTACAATAGGGTGATTTTCCACATGTTTACATATAAGTAATGTATATGCAAACATCTGTCTGTCTCCTTTGACAGGTTGTCAAGATTTGTTTGGTTTGGTTTCAGTACTTGAAAAATAAGAATCCAAGCTTGTTAAAATTAGAATGTATGATTGGCTTCCTGAAATTCAGTTGCCAGTGGTCACTGACAGGCTAAATTGCAATATTTGACAATATGGTTCTGGATTATTTTTTTACAGTGACCAACCTTTTGAACATGTGTTGCTCAAGTGTATTAACTGGTGGAGGAACTAATCTAGAATATGGACTGCATTCTCTCTTTGAGGCTAAAGGGGATATAATGGTAAGAAATGTTTTTCTCTCTACATTCTCTCAATATGTTGAAAATAATATGTTTTTAATAAAAATATCAGGCACAAAGAAGTTTTTGAATGATTAATTATGAAACTGTAGTCTCATTTTACATTTGCAGCAAGACTAGACACCCATCCCTATCCTTCTCAGAACTTTTTACTAATAGTTTATTTTTAATTACAATTCCTTTTTTAGAAAAATCAAGGGGTTTAAAAATTACCAGTTACTGCAAACATGTGTGCATTAGATATGTGCAGGGATCTTTTTTTTTTGCCGGTCACTTCAGCTATTCAGCTGATCAGTTTTGTTACGGGTCCCCGAAATAGTAAGGGCCCTCCTGGTATAAAAACCTGCCCGACATGAAAGCAAGTGGGAGTCAATCTTGACTCCTCCTCCCCTATTCGGCATCGCAGTTGAATATTTTTTATTTTCCTTTATTTTACTGATTTTTTATATTTAGTGGGACTGACTGGGAGTTGGGGACTTGAGGGAAGGTGGGTGGGGTGCACGCGTGTGTGCATTTGGCGGCTTGGAGAAACACTATTTTCCCTTCTTTTTCTCCTTCCTCTCCTTCAGAAAATACTTCTAAAAGATAATAATAATAATAATAATAATAATAATAATAATAATAATAATAGCAATCCCAGCAAACAAAAAGAGAAACCTACTTCTCCTCTAGAGAAGACAGTAGAAACAGCTTTAAAGAAGCAAAACCGGCAAGCGAAAAGGAGATTGTAGACATCCAGTAGAGAAAACGGGGTATTTTTTAAGGTAGTCCAGGGAGGATAGCTTCACTGAGCTACAGGTCACTGCTCTTCCTTCCCTGGGCCTCCTTAAAAAGCCTTGGAAAGCTGCATGGCATGCTGCTGGTGCTGTTGAAAGTGTGCGAGCCTGCCTCTTCTCTAGAGTAGAAATAGCTTTAGGAAGCATTACGTCCAGTATCCTCTACAAACAAAAGGTAAAAGGATACAGAAATAGTGGTATCTTAACACTGATGCTTTTAAAAATCCAGATCTTAATGAAAGACATGGAAGGGAGCCTGTGGGAAATCCTCCCACCATAATGGGCTGGATAGGATGCTTTCTTAACCCTGTTGTAGGCTCCCAGGGGAAAGGGGAGTCTCATAAGTTCCCCATTGCTGCCAAAGAGACAAAAATAACATTTTTTTGGGATGCAGAACCAAAACGCCCATTTGGCAGCTCACCCGTTTTTGGGAGGTGCTTGAAAACAGATATGGGGTTTTTCTGATATCTGGCAAACAGAAGGAGATAGCAATTCACCCAAAATGCACAAGCCTTGTGTGCATATAGTTAGAAGTAAATTCTCCTGTTTTTATTGGCTTGCTATATGGACACACAGAAATATTTTTGCCCCCAAAATAATCCAGTGAGAGTTGAGCATTTGCAGTAGCCATAGCATATTGACTTCCTGGATGGGAATTGGACATTTTCATAAACTTGCTATTAAAAGTATAATAATGATTATAGTAATTAAAAATAGACTGTGTACAATTCAACATGGTTTAGTTTTGCTTTTTTTCTTATCGTGCAGGTTGCTGTAGAGATGCTTCTTTTGTTGAAACCAAGAAGAACAAAGTCACACCCTTTGGCAAATTATCATTATGCTGGTAAGTTATGCTGGGCGGAGAGGTAACAGTTGGCTTGCGGAGCGGCCTGGTGAGATCCTCAGATCCAACTCTAATCCCTTCCATCCGGAGCTCCCCCAACTTCCAACCACCACCATTGGCAACCGAGGGTTCGAAGGAGCCCTCAGGGGGGTCTTTTGGTGAGCGTTTACTGAAGAAGGGAGCTGAGAGGGGAGAAGAGAAAGAAGAGAGGTAGAACGCTGAGGCCACCTCCATCTTGGCCTGGCAAGAGCGTTCCCCTCTGCTGTCTGACCGCCTGTCTGCTGACTGCTGAGGCCTGATTTGCTTTAACACCTACCGGCGGGCTATCTCATCAGCCCCTCGCCCCTTACTTCTGTTTCGGCCTCGTTGCCAGCTGGCTGGGCCCGTTACTTGTTGCCTCTGGCCTTCGCCCGCTCTGGCCTCCGCCGCCGTGCTGCCGCGTGTGCTTGGCTGACGGGTTGCTGCCGCTGTGCCTGGCTGGGGGGCCGCTCCCCTTGCGCCCGGTCGGCGTTTCCCTCTTCGACGCTTGGTGGTTTCTCTGCCTTGGGGCCGGCGTCCTCCTCCTGTGTCTCCCGACGGTGGGCGCCATTGCTTGGAGGACCGTGGCCGCCATTGTTTGGAGGACCCGGGCGGCCACGGGGTAAGGACTTCTTGCTTCCGGCGCCGGCTTTCCGGCGCGCTGGCCATTAGGCGCACCAGCTGTTTTTTCGGCGTGCCAGTTCTTAGCGTGCCGGCCTGTCAACATACCGGCTTTTCCCCCTGTGTGCCGGCCTTCAGTGGTCCCTCGGCGTACCGGCCTTCCCATCGAGGTTGCCTGTCACCACCCTGGCTGCTGGGCCCTGGCGCTTAAATTCATCTGGGCCATCTTTGGGCGGTCCGCTGCCAAGGCCCTTTTCCTCCGTACAGGGCCAGTGCTAGAGCTATTTTTTCGGAGGACGACAAGAAGAAGAACTAGGGACTCGGCCCAAGGGCGCCGGTTTGCACTCCACGGGTCCAGGGAGCTGGGTCCTTTGGTCCTGAAACTGTCGTCCTGTCTGATTACTGACACCGGACTCAAATTAGAAGGCACTAATTTTGTACTTTAGCACTACTACTAGCACTAAGCCACTTTAAATCTGGCTAGTTGGGAATGATCAACCCCTTTTAGACAACAAATAGTACACCCAGCCGCGGGCAATTGACCATCTTGCCTAGAGTGGGCACTCTCCCGCCATTATATGAGATTGCCATCATATGAGATTTCCACCTCTCATTGTTAATTATTAATCCGGAAGACTGTATTGACCATCCTTGGGCCCGATTATTGTGGTATTTGTTGGTTCCCATTTTTGATAGAACTTGACAGACTGTGTTGTCCATGCCTTAATTCCTCCTGTGTTGTCCCTTCGAGTATGTTACCAGCCACAGATTGTACGGATTATTCTGCTGTGTTAATTTCTTCTAATTCCTGTGAACTGTTGCTAAGTGCGCAGATTATTCTCATTGCACTAATAATAATCACCTATATTAGTGGCTGGAGAAGATTTTAAGAACTAACAGTGCTACGGCTGACGAGCACTTTAGCGCCTATTTGTTTAGCACTTTAATTGCAGTATCTGTGACCATTATTATCATTCTTGTGATATTGAATTAACAACCTGCGAGCTTTAGCACTTTATTTTGATTTAATGTATCAGTTAGCATCGAATTGAGGCCCTCCATGACGCACTTTATTCTAGCATTTTAGAGCGGATTGAGAAATAATTGCACTTTAACTACTTATTCCATCTTGCATGATCTATTGTATTTATAAATTTCAGGAATACTCTCCCGATAGGCCTTAATATCTACCACTCATGTCATCACCCTTCTCCCGGTATTTGTTAACCTTGCTGCTGATTGTGTATGTTGGAGAGAGGGAACGGAGTAGGCCAACGGGATTTGGGCATTATAATACGGGTGTAGATAATGGATGGAGGACAGATTTATGGCACTCTGTAACTACAATATGTCAAACAGCTAATAATGCATTCCTTGTTGATACGTTGGCTGCTCATTGCGTCATGGAGGAGGGAGGGGGTTCCGTTAACCGGGGAGCCCCCATAGAAGTCGTGGTGGGGAGGGGGAGATACGGGAAAGGGAGACCTCCAATTCGACCTAGGGAATGGGGAACAACTTTAGTAATTCCTAATCGGTCTCCTGATATGGTAAGTTGGTGTAACCAGGATGGCGGTCCCTCCGGATTGAAAGTTGTGCTGTTGAACGCCAGATCTGTCAACGGTAAAACAACCTTCATTCAGGACATAATCCTGGATGAACGGGCAGATCTGGCGTGCATCACAGAGACCTGGCTGGACGAAGCGGGAGGTGTAAATTTAACCCAGCTTTGCCCACCAGGTTTCTCTGTGCAGCACCAACCAAGATCCGGAGGGCGGGGAGGCGGGGTTGCAGTGGTCTATAGAGATTCCATTCTTCTGACCAGGGCCCCCATCCCACTGTCAACAAAATTTGAATGCGTCCACCTGAGGGTGGGAGACCGGGACAGATTAGGGATTCTGTTAGTGTACCGGCCACCTCGCTGCACTACAGACTCCCTGACTGAGCTAGCGGGGGTGGTCTCGGACCTGGTGTTGGAGTCCCAACGGCTGTTAGTGCTGGGGGACTTCAACATCCATCGCCGAGTCCGCCTCATCGGGAGCGGCTCAGGACTTCATGTCTACCATGGCAACCATGGGGCTGTCCCAACAAGTATCTGGCCCCACCCACAGTGCTGGACATACATTGGACTTGGTTTTCTGTCAGGGATGGGAGGAAGGTGGCGGTGTTGAGGAGTTATCCATCTCTCCGTTGCCATGGACCGACCACCACCTGGTCAGTTTTAGACTTGCTGCACCCCCTAACCTCCGCAGAGGTGGAGGACCCATTAAATTGGTCCGCCCTAGGAGGCTTATGGATCCGGATGGCTTCCTGATGGCTCTTGGGGATTTTCCCGCCACCGCGGTTGGTGATCCTGTTGATGCTCTGGTCGCTCTCTGGAATGGGGAGATGACTAGGGCAATAGACACGATCGCTCCAGAACGTCCCCTCTCAAGTAGCCGAGCTAAACCAGCCCCTTGGTTTACCGAGGAGCTGGCAGCGTTGAAGCGAAAGAAGAGGGAACTAGAGAGCGTGTGGCATTCGGATCCGAGCGAGCCAAATCGAACACGGTTTGTGTCCTTTTTAAGGGCATATGCCGCGGCAATAAAAGCCGCAAAGAAAACTTTCTTTGCGGCCACTATTGCATCTGCAAAGAACCGTCCGGCTGAACTGTTCCGAGTTGTCAGAGGCCTATTAAAACCCGCCACTCAGGATGGGTGCCCTGATGACTCGGCAGCTCGCTGCGAAGCTTTTGCTCGGTTCTTCGCAGACAAAGTCGCTTTGATCCGCTCTGGACTGGATACCATATTAACGGCAGTATCTGAGGATGTAACCCGAGCACCTGCTTGTCCGGTTTTGATGGATTCATTTCAATTGGTTCAATCCGAGGATGTGGACAAGGTGCTTGGAGGAATGAGAGCTACCACATGCATCCTAGACCCCTGCCCACCCTGGCTTCTAAAGGAGGCCAGAGGGGGTTTGGCCGAGTGGGTGAAGGTGGTGGTGAATGCCTCCCTTCGGGAAGGCAAAATTCCAGCCAGCTTAAAGCAAGCTGTAATAAAACCGCTGTTGAAGAAGCCATCACTAGACCCCACTCAATTCGTCAACTTTCGGCCTGTTTCCAATCTCCCCTTTTTGGGCAAAGTCAGGGAACGTGTGGTGGCCTCACAACTCCAGGCATTCTTGGTAGACACGGATTATCTGGATCCGGCACAGTCTGGCTTTAGGCCGGGGCATGGTACCGAGACAGCCTTGGTCGCCTTAGTGGATGATCGGCGTCGGGAGCTCGACAGGGGGAGTGTGTCCCTGTTGGTGCTGCTCGACCTCTCAGCGGCCTTCGATACCGTCGACCACGGTATCCTTCTGGGACGCCTCGCGGAGATGGGTCTTGGAGGTACTGTCTTGCAGTGGCTCCGCTCATTCCTCGAGGGTCGGTCCCAGATGGTGTTATTGGGAGACTCCTGTTCAACCCCACAACCTTTGTCTTGTGGGGTTCCTCAGGGTTCAATACTGTCCCCCATGTTGTTTAACATCTACATGAAGCCGCTGGGCGAGATCATCCGGAGTTTCGGAGTGAGATGTCATCTGTACGCAGATGATGTCCAACTCTGTCACTCCTTTCCACCTGCTACTAAGGAGGCTGTCGAAGTCCTGAACCGGTGCTTGGCCGCTGTGACGGTCTGGATGGGAGCGAACAAATTGAAATTGAATCCAGACAAGACAGAGGTACTCCTGGTTAGTCGTAAGGCTGAACAGGGTATTGGATTACAGCCTGTGTTGGATGGGGTCGCACTCCCCCTGAAGACACAGGTTCGCAGCTTGGGGGTGATCCTGGACTCACCGCTGAGCCTGGAACCCCAGGTTTCGGCGGTGACCAGGGGAGCCTTCGCACAGTTAAAACTTGTGCGCCAGCTGTGCCCGTACCTTAGGAAGTCCGACTTAGCCACGGTAGTCCATGCTCTGGTTACATCTCGCCTTGATTACTGCAACGCTCTCTACGTGGGGTTGCCTTTGAAGACAGTCCGGAAGCTCCAGTTAGTCCAACGGGCGGCAGCCATGATTTTAACAGGAGCTGATCGCAGGGAGCATACAACTCCCTTGCTGAACCAGCTCCACTGGCTGCCGATATGCTACCGGGCTCAATTCAAGGTGCTGGCGTTGGCCTTTAAAGCCCTAAACGGTTCTGGCCCAACTTATCTATCTGAACGTATCTCAGCCTATCAGCCCACCAGGACCCTAAGATCTTCCGGAGAGTCCCTTCTCTCTATCCCTCCAGCTTCAGAAGTGCGGCTGGCGGGAACGAGAGATAGGGCCTTCTCTGTGGTGGCCCCCCGGCTTTGGAACGCCCTCCCTATAGAGATACGATCAGCCTCTTCGCTGATGGCATTTAGGAAGAAACTTAAAACATGGTTATTCAAACAAGCCTTCGGCTAATCTGTGGAAACCGATTCGAATCTGGGTGACCTTGGACAGAAATATGGACAACGAATTGTGGACTGTGATTTCAACTTGAGACATATGGGATTATTATTGGTGGCCCAATAATTTGCTTTTGTAATTTGTAATTGTATTTTGTATATGTTTTTAAACTGGAGATTGATTTTAAATGCTGTAAACCGCAACTGAGTCGCCGATCCAGGCTGAGAAGTTAGCGGTATATAAGTGTACCAAATAAATAAATAAATAAATAAAATAAGTTCCAAAAATGTTGGGGAAAGAAAGAAAGAAAGAAAGAAAAAGAGGGAGAGAGACAGAAAGAAAGAAACTGTTGGGTGCTGTCAGCTTGAGTGCTGAAAAGAAGGAGTTAATCAGATGAAAGTAAAATATCAGTGGTTCTTGCCCATATGTTTCCTCCAGGTTCAGACCAGTGGACACCTGCTGAAAAAAAGCTGTTCAACAAAGCGCTCTCCACGTACAGCAAAGATTTTATTTTGGTACAGAAAATGGTAAGACAGTCTCACCTGTTTTTCAGACTTAGAAATTGTGATGGTGAAGTTGCCAATTGCTGGTTTGGAAGTTTAGGGTGTGAAAGTAGAATTACTGCAACACTCTCTACATGGTGCTACCTTTGAAGATAGTTTGGAAGCTTCAGCTGGTCCAGTAGAATTTCACACTCCTGAATTTGTGATGGCGCATTTAGTTTTCTTTTACTGTGCCTGTTATAGGCAGCGTGAGTTATCTGCCTAACTTCGACAGAAATAGTTGTCAGAGAAAGGGTGAAACAGAGTATGAATGAGTTTGCACGTGACAAAAGGGAGAGCCCTGGTTTCAAGTCGCTTCTGTACAGCTATGAAGTTCATTGGGTGACATGGGCCACATAGGTTATTTTTCTCTTGGCTTGCCTACCTGAGAAGTTAGTTATTGCCTTAGCTAAAGCAGGATAGCTTCTCCATCCCACCATCCAGATCTCTATGAAATGTCAACAGGGATGAATATGAGTGTGTAGGAAGAATATTTCAGTATAAACCAAAACCCGGTTCGTCTATCCTTTAAACCTATTTGCTTGTTTACTATAGTGTGTGTGTGTGTGTATATATATATATACCTTCATTAGTTTATATGCCACCATTCTCCCAGAGCTGGACCTACCCTATATCTGATTGTCTTAAGACTGACATACAATAAAAACAAACGAAGAGAATTAATACCACCATCCAGAATTCAGGGTTAGATTTATGGATGCATAACCTGGTTACATATTCAAAGTGGATCCATATCTAGAGTACCCACACTATGGCACTATGATTTACTTTTCTGGGCATCAGCCACACGGAGAGAAGGAAATCCATTCTGCCGGTGACTTGGATAAAGGAGTAAGATGTCTCCACCTATCCTCCAGCCAGCGAGGTTCTGATGCTGAGAAGCAGGAGCTCAATATCCAGGTGTCAGCAGTGGCCAGGAGTGCCTTTGCACAGTTAAAACTTGTGTGCCAGCTGCGCCCGTATCTTGAGATGCCAGATCTGGCCATGGTAGTTCACACCTCAGTTACATCCCGTTTGGAGTACTGCAACACTCTCTACATGGGGTTACCTTTGAAGATAGTTTGGAAGCTTCAGCTGGTCCAGAGATTGGCAGACAGAGTTTGGAAGCTTCAGCTGGTCCAGAGATTGGCAGACAGGTTGCTAACTGGAGCGTCACTCAGGGAGAGAACTACTCCCATGCTGCAGCAGCTCCACTGACTGCCGGTCTGCTTCCAGGCTAAATACAAAGTGCTGTTATTACCTTTAAAGCCCTAAATGTCTTGGGTCCAGGCTATTTGATGAACTGCATCTCCCACTACATACCAACTCGGACTCTGTGGTAATTGGAGGAAGCTCTGCTCTCTGTCCGGCCCCCGTCTCAAGCATGGAACTACTACCTAAGGAACTAAAGATAGCCCCTTCCCTCCTCACCTTTAAGAAATAGCTGAAGACATACTTCTGTTCACTGGCCTACAAGGAGAAGGAGGAATAGATAAGGGCATTGCTATTATACCTCTGATTCACATCTGCAATCTGTTCTCAGGCCTTGTCTGCCCCGCTAGCTCAGTTGACATCTTTAGCAATGCTCAGTTTATATGCCTCAAGGAACTCTGTTGACTCCAGGAAATTGACGCTTCTGTTTTATGTTTGTTTTATGTCTGATATAATAGGTTGTGTTTAAATCTAATCCTAATCTGCTAAATTATAATCTGTTTTTATATGCTGTGTAGTTTAATTTTCGTTATTAGCTGTTACATTCAGGCATTGAATTTCTGCCTTTCCTTGTGACTGGAATCTGCCCTGAGTCCCTTCAGGGAGATAGGGCGGAATATAAATAAAGTTTTATTATTATTATATTATTCATTAATTTCATTTGCTTGTTGCAGCCTCTCTGGCTAGTGAGAGACAGTGGGAATGCTATCCATTGTGCCCCAGAACAAACCCTCTTCTCTCTGTGCAGCTGATTCTGGTGAATCACGTTTGAGTTTAGTGCAATAGCTACTACTTACCTCTACAACTGTAGTATCTAAGTAACTTGTGTACAATTCTAGACAAAACAAATAATTTTAAAAGACTAAAATACATTGCAACTCCATATCCATGGGAACACATCCCTGGGCTTTGCGTAGATCTTATTTCTGCTGGATGGATACTGTAGAGTTGTGCTAGAGGACCTAGGAAATGCCTAGTGAAGCCCCCTCGCGTGGCATAGCAAGATCCTACAGTGTGAGTCTATGATCAACTACTATAGAATGTCCTGGAGAGCCTAGAAAATACCTAGAGAGGATATATTTGATTGGGGAAATGAAACCATAGCTATTGGTCTCACTGATGCAGGGGTTGTACTGTATATTAAAACATTTATTCCTTGAAACTGATCAAAAGAAATCAGATTAGTGCCATTAGGTGCAAACTGGATTAGATTAATCGTGCCTGAATGCTTTTATTTTGTGCCAAAATTATACCGGAATTGCACCAATTAGACCCCCACAGGGGGAGATATTCCACCTTATCCATATCCTCCCTCAATGTATTGTTCCCAGAAAGTATAGACTTCTGATATTAACCAAAGCATGAACTATTAACGCTTTTGTCTCTGTGCATATTACTTATGTAATAAAGTTTTAGTATATCTGATTGATTAATTGTAGGTGAAGTCTAAGACAGTTGCACAATGTGTGGAATACTACTACACCTGGAAGAAAATCCTGCATTTAGTAAGAAAGCATAGAACACGCCTAGCAGAAATAAAAGACGAACATCTGGTAAGACATATTAATAGTGCACTTAAAAGATGAAACTTGGGTGTTTTGAGCTAAATATAATTGTGATCTTTGGGGGCTGATGTAGGTAACAAAACAAGAAATTCAAGAAAGTAGCTTTGTGCATGTTGTAAACATTGCAGACGGAGGTATTATTTTTCCCTTCAGTCATCAAGGGCCTGGTGTTTTACTTGCTTCCATGAATAAGGTGTGTTCCCCCCCCCCTCCACTTTAAGATATATTAAGATAGTCTCAGGGCATTATTAGTCAGTGTAAAACTCATGCTGTGCAAGCAGATTCAATCCCATATTCAATCCCTAGCATTTCAAGTCTGAAGGATTGGGTACTTGGTGATATTAAGTTGATGGGAACCTCTGTCTATGAAAGTACAGTATCCATGGGTTCTGCATCCATGAATTCAAGCAACCATGGCTTGAAAATATTTGGGGGGGGGGGTCGAAAAATCTACCTTAATTTTGTCACACAGCGAGCATTACACACTGATGTGTAGGCACATCCTATTGTCACCTCCCAACACTTTACATATCCCCAGACTCTTTCTCTGGTACTTGCTTCAGTTGTATGTAATGTTGTTATATAGCAAGGGTCCTCAAATGTCTATGGTGGGAGCCAGTTCATAGTCCCTCAGACTGGAGGGAGAGGGACATGAACCAATTCCTATGCACACTGCACATGTCTTATTTGTCATACAAAAAAAAAAAAACATGAAAGAGCAATATAGAATTTAAAATGAAGAGCAATTTTAACATAAACTTACCAGTATTTCAATGGGCCTGCTTTTAGCTGATGAGAGAGTCAAGTTAATTAGGATTGTTGTTGTTGTGTGCATTAATAATAATAATAATAATAATAATAATAATAATAATAATAATAATGCAAAGACTCTGGCACGAACCATTAAAGGTGGTCCCAGTGGTGATCGGCACACTGGGTGCAGTGCCTGAAGTCCTTGGCCTGCACTTAAACACAATCAGCGCTGACAAAATTACCATCTGCCAGCTGCAGAAGGCCACCTTACTGGGATCTGCACGCATTATTCGCCGATACATCACATAGTCCTATTCACTTGGGAAGTGTCCGATGTGTGATCCAATACAACAGCCAGCAGAGTGATCTTGTTTGCTGTGGACTCATCTTGTTGTGCTTTAAATAATTATAATAATAATAACAACAACTTTATTTTTATACCATGCCACCATTTCCCCGAAGGGACTCCAGGTGACTTACAAAAGGACAAGCCCAAAAAATATAGATTAAAATAAATACAATAAAGTAAAATCAACAATAACACATCAGAAAAAAAATTCACAGTCACAACAATATTTTTAAAACATTATCATGGCTGAACGATTAAGTGCTGAATGCGGAAGGTTTAGGTATGTGCGATGGTTCCTAAATAGAGCCAGGGGAAAGTGCAAGATTCAATTCAAATTCAATAAGGTCCAGCTGGGAGGGTAATGTCCCTCGCCATTTAAAGTGTCAAGATTACAGGTGGGAGGACCAACTAAAGTGCAGGAGCTATGGTGAGATCGAACCAATTCTCTGGTGAAACTGCCTAATCAAATGCACAATGGAACCAGGTTTTTAAGTCCTTGCAGAAAGTGGATAGAGTAGGTGCCAATCTGATCTCCTTTGGTAGAGAGTTCCAGAGCCGAGGGGCAACCTTCAAGTAGTTTCAGACTTAGGACAACCCTCAGTCTAAAGTTTAGGGTGGGAACTGGGAAAATGACCCTGGGGAGCTGCATCCACCTCATGGGCCTTATTTTGGGGACCCCTGTTATATAAAGGACATCATTTTACTGCACCATTGTACATTATAGAACTTGAGCATCCATGGATTTGGGTATCTGGTTGGAAATGGGGGTCCTCGAACTAAACACCAGTTGATATGAGGGGCCCACTGTCCTACCAGTCTGTGTACACAGTATCAAGATGTACAGAGAAATACTCTGATCTGGTTAAGGCACTTAATGAGATCACTTTTTGGGTGCAAGAAAAATGTTACATTTCTAAACACGGATGCAATGGTAAGAGTAAAGATAGAAGCAACATTTTTAGAACAGTGGGAAGAGGCAGAAAAGTGCCTTTGCCACATTACATAAATGTACTGCTTTATTTCTTGGGATAAGTTATGGGAGATACCATCTTACAAGGAATGCAAGAACTCATTCCCTCCTTAAGAAAAGGAACAAACATTCTTGTATACTAAACAAAGAATAAAAGGGAAAATAGTCACTTTCGCTAAAGACAGAAATATTTTTATGAAGCCATTAAAGTGTGTTTAGGAACACATCACTCATCTGCAAAAAAGAAATTCAAACTAAGGAAAATATTTATTTTTGTCTCCATTTTCATAGTTTACCAACTAACAAGGTAAAGTCAATCTATGTATGTTTTACTCTGATGTGCTTGTTTGTGAAGAAATCAAGGGTTTCTTGCACTAATTTGCTGTACATCGTTTTCCCCCTTCAGACAAGTGAAGAGGAAGAGTTAGAGGAAGAGGAGCAGGCAGAGGAAGACAGAAAATCTGTCAAAGAAGAGGAAGTTGAAATCCAGATTGATCCTCCGCCGATTGTTGCTTCTGCACCTATTAACCTGCCTTCTCTGCAAAGCATCATGCTTCCTGTCACCTCATTTTCCTGTGAAATGCCAGACTGTGGAGCTGTAGGTGTATTTGATAATGGTTCATAGTCATTGCAGAAACAAGTGGGTGTGAAGGGAGAAGGGCTTGAGCAGATCCTTTTATATAGAAATGAAGACATTGTTATTAGAGGCAGAACCTTGAAACATTGCAGGCATTATAGCATGAGGGCGGGAGTATGCATTTTTGTGTGTGTCAGGAGCAACTTGAGAAACTGCAAGTTGCTTCTGGTGTGAGAGAATTGGCCGTCAGCAAAGACGTTGCCCAAATATTTTACCATCCTGTGGGAGGCTTCTCTCATGCCCCCACATGAGAAGCTGGAGCTGACAGACAGGAGCTCACCCTGCTCCCCAGATTCGAACCGCTATTCTTTCGGCCAGCAGTTCTCCCAGCACAAAGCTTTAACCCATTGCACCACCGGGGGTTCTAGTATGCAATTATGGCTGTTTAATAATGTGTGACGGTGCTGCTTATTGATAATGTCGTCGTGTGTCAGTTGCATTTCAGATTTCCCTTTGTTTTATGGACATACCTTTTAATTCTTGGGAGAAACATTTTCGCTTTCATTTTCCAAACAGCACATTTCTGCCCCTGAATAATATAATAAATAGTGAAATCTCAGAAGTCGGGATGTAGCACAATGGGCGTTCCCTTGAGCTCCCAACCCAAAAGTTCCAAGAACAGAGCAAATTTGGAAGGCATTTATTTTAATATTTTACACATAGCTTTTTTAAGAAAAAGTGAACAAAAGTGGGTTATAAACTAAAACCATAATGGAATTATTAAAATACTTAATATTAAGGAATTTCATGACACATTAAAACGAAAATATAGAAACTGCTTTTTTAAAAAAACATTACTTGCACTACCACAGTTCTGACAGATGAGAAAGTTGTATTCTTTTACTCTGTTTAAACAATTATATTCTGATTTTCTTGTAAATTAAGCTCAAAGCAGAGTCCTGAAGATAGGAAATAACCTCTAGATCTGCTTCATTGTGTAGTGTTCATATGTGTTGAAGATAATTCATATGAATGGACATCTGTTGAGAGGCTCGACTGTGTGTGTATTCACAATGTCAGATACTCCCATGCTGCTCTTTATACATGCATCATGTTGGGCGAGTGGGCTTGTATAGCAGAGTAACTTACTAGCAGCGTAACCCAGCACCAGTAGCCCAAAGTGATAAAAAGAACAAAAACACATAGACCAATGTTATCTCTTCCATAGGAGGCTTTTCTTTGTAGTAAAATAATATAGATGCACTATTTACAATAACAAGGTTTCAACAACACAAATAAAGTTCTTTATACTTCCTTCTTTGCTTCCATGCTGGGCTTCTTCCTCATGAAGATAAACAGCTGCCCTCTCACAGAGCCTGCTCTCACAATGAACTTATACTGGAGCTTCATACAGTAGCTTTTTACACACAGCAGCCTTTATACTGGAGCTCTGCATATGAGGCCTTCTACATGGGACTTCTTTCACCAAAGCTTCTCACACCAGGCATTGTTATAGACTGAGGTCTACCTCACACTGTGAGGCCTACCACACACAGAGGCTTCTCTCACAGACTAAGGCCTACCACACACTGACAGGCCTTCTCACAGACTGAGACCTTTCTCCCACTGAGGTTTACCTCAGACTGACAGGCACACCTGCTTATATAAAACTGCAGCTTTTGCTGAGTCATGGCATCCTTTTTACCCTTTCAGTTCTTGACTCACATTTTTGTAATAAAAAATATCTACTTCATTTTTAATATTTTTGACACATCATATGTTCATGCTGATTGGTGAATTCTGAGAATCAAGGGAACAAATTTTCCAGACTTCAGACATGCCTCAGAGAACAATTTAATGGTTTGTTTTTGATAGTTTGTCTTGTTTTTCCTCCTAGATGTTCAGCTCCAGACAAGCCCTGAATGGCCACGTCCGCATTCATAGTAGCACAAACCCTGCGGCAAAATCCCGCTCTGGAGGTGGTGGTACAAAGCAGAAGCCCACCCCCCAGAACAACGACTATTGCTCTCTCAAGAGCTCCCCAGCTCACAGTACCACAAGTGGCGAGACTGAACCACCCACGGTTTTCCCTTGCAAAGAATGTGGCAAGTGAGTAAACATGCATCTGTGACAAAACAGAGGCGTTTGCTATTCCCCATTAAAAACCACAGATAAAACTAGAGCCCCATTGAGATAAGAGAGATGTTGCCACATTCTTGTTGGTAACTCTGACACGATCAAAAGTGGACAACTTCTGATAGGTTCCAGGGCCTTTTGTAGGGTAATTGTGTGTGGTGTGTGTGAGAAAAAGTGAGCTGCAGGTCACATTGGGGACTTATGGCATGTCATGTTGTCACTGTTCATCCTTGTATGAACAATGACAACATTGTAATGTTATTAACTGTTTTCAAGATGGCAACCAACTATTGTGAGATTTGTTTATTTATCGTGTCAGGAGCAGACCAAACAGTTGCGTTGCATTTTTAAACAAACAAACAAACAAAACACAAAGTTTGCAAGCTTGGTAGTTGATTAAATGTCCTTTGACCAGTAGCTGGCCACCTGAAATGCCTCTGGTGTTGCTGCAAGAAGGTCCTCCATTGTGCATGTGGCAGGGCTCAGGTTGAATTGCAGCAGGTGGTCTGTGGTTTGCTCTTCTCCACACTCGCATGTCGTGAATTCCACTTCGTAGTCCCATTTCTTAAGGTTGGCTTTGCATCTCGTGGTGCCAGAGTGCAGTCTGTTCAGCGCCTTCCAAGTTGCCCAGTTTTCTGTGTGCCCAGGGGGAGTATCTCATTTGGTATCAGCCATTGATTAAGGTTTTGGGTTTGAGCCTGCCACCTTTGGACTCTCGCTTGCTGAGGTGTTCCAGCGAGTGTCTCTGTAGATCTTAGAAAACGATTTCTTGATTTAAGATTTATTGTGAGATGCTAGCATTATATAATGGCTTGAGTGTTGGACAAGAACTAGGATTCGAATCCCCACTTTGCAATGGAAATCCACTGGCTATTGTTGGACAAGTCATACTTTCTTAGCCTAAGTAGGTATAGGGTTGTGATACATCAGAAGTAACTTGAAGGCACACAATGCCAACCATAGTTAACCGTCATGGGCCAGACTTGCTTTATGGCACTGAGGCTTTAGTTAGTTGCCGTAGAAATTAAAATTCCAGGAAACTTGGTGGGATTGACGCTGAACATCCATCATATTTTGCTTTTAAGAATTTGAGTTCTTAAAAGCAATGTGCAAATTTAACTGGTGTCACTTTGCTGTCCTGTTAATTAATTATACATGCCTAAGTCCCACAATGGCCCATACGGCATGGCCACTACAACTACTAGCATCCTCCTAACCTTCATAGTCAGTCATCAAGGGATTCTGGGGCTTGTAGTCCAAAAAGTAACTTTTCCAAATTCTGTTTTGTTATCCATTCAATTGACATTCACCAGATTTTGGGACATGAGATGTAAAACACATACGTAGGCATACACAACCTTATGTTCTGAAGTATTGTTCCTCCTTATATATGTTGCCTTCTCACTTCTTTTCCTTTCTTTTGCCATGTGCCAGGATGTTTTTCAAAATCAAAAGTCGCAATGCACACATGAAAACACACCGGCAACAAGAAGAGCAGCAAAGGCAGAAAGCCCAAAAGGCTTCTGTTGCAGCGGAAATGGCAGCCACAATTGCAAGGACTACAGGGCCAGCGGGACATGACTTGATTTCACTGGATCATCTGGATTTGATAAAACAGGTTGAACAAGTTGACCTTGGTAGTGATGTGGTTCAGGAATTGGGCGCAGTCATTGACGGTGCCGAAGTCATCGACCCCGTCCTCTTACTGGAAGAAGGCGACACAGAATTACTTCAGGATGATGTCGAGCTGTAAAAGCCAGAACCACGGCCTGTAAAATTGTAGGTGCCACGTGAAATTGGTTGCCTCCACAGAGAAGGGCTAGATCTCAATTTCTGTGTATTTGCTTGTTTTCGCTATGTGAATATATGGAGTGTTTTATCACAGATTGGTGGGGTGGGGTGGGGGTGGGGGGAGATCTGATTTTTTTTACTATTTTTTATTTCAATAACTTGGTTTCAAAATATGCAGAGCTGTTAATGGTCTGTCTTCTATCTATCTTAGAAACAGGTATGTTGTGAGAAGTTGGGGGTTTTCTTTCCTTCCCATTTCTTGAGAAGCCCCAAGTTCTTTAGTTCCTCAGGGTTTAATTCCTCCTCTTCCATGAGCCAAACCCATATAATTAGAAATGTTTTAATGTCTGTGATGACAACGAGTACTTCCAAATAGACCGGTTCAGTCATCCCATAGTCGTCGTTATTATAAATGCAGCTTGAACTCAGAGTGGATTGGTGGCATCCCTGAGATGCAAAGATATAGTTTGTCTGATGGTCCCTGGACTTTTAAGGCCTTATTCCTGCAGAGACTGGTTTAGGTGAATTCACAACAACTGGGGAAAGCTTGTTTCCACAGTATCAAAAGTTCTGTGTCAGATGAAGCTTTTTCAAAGGCATCTTCGTCTGTGGCTCTGTATGTGGATTGTTTAGTGATTGCACACATCTTCCCAAACACAACAACCACAACAATAATAATAAACAACTTTATATATATCCAAACAGGACTCGGGGTAGCTTACAAAAAGTGAAAACAATAACATTGAAAAGTTTCCTTTCAGGACTAGACACTTCTGGAACCTCCCATCGACATGATTATGGGAATTGTAGTCCCAGAAAGTTTGCCAGGCTCTGCAAAACCTACTGTACTAAATCCAAACCTAGTCCAAACTAGAACCAGATTTGCATAAATGTTGATTTAGCCTTCAGTTTGTTCAGCGAGTTTATTCTACTTAAATAGCAGCTGAAGTTTAGCCTATTTAGAGTTATGTTTTATGCCAGGTTTATGTTAAACCAGTGGTAGGCAATTCCTAGAGAACTGGTCCATGCAGGATGTTGGTGGGCTCTCTGCTCCCGCCATATCCATGTTGGAGTTTTGTTTTCTTTCATTGGAATGTTTTCACACTCGGAATGCTCTCGTCTTCCAGGAGGCATGAGGGTCATTATCACTTTAGATAATGAGCCGTTTTAGTGTTTTTACAAATCGCGAAGTAAACTGGATTACTTCTTGGTTTCCAGAAGGCCTCTGCTGGACCTCAAATAGCCTGACAGACATAGAGAAGTTGCTCCCTCCCCACCTAATGGGAATGGGGTCATGTTTAGTTAAAAGATAGTCAAAAGAACAAATGATTAGGGACCTTAAACCGAGCTTTGGGACCTATTTATAGCTTACAGTCTGCACTTTACCCACGCTGCACTGAACAAATAAAGGTGGGTCCACAAAATTATCTCTTCTTTCCCTCCATAGAGATTTCACCTTGCAAGAACTTTCCAATAACTCATGCTTGTATTCCTTTTCCAGAGCCAGACATGTGTAGTTATTTGCATCCTGGTCACTGTGTATAAATGTGAAAATTAGAACAGAGTCCCTTTACTCTGCGCATGCCTTGTCATGAGTATTCTCCTAGAGCTAAATTATAAGAAAATCATAGAGTTTGGTAGTCTTAGAAAAATCATCTCTGACACCCCAACTCTGTCTATATTGTCAGATTCTGAACTCAGGATTAAAAGCTGTGACATGATAAAATGTAAATTAATCCCTTGGATCATTAGGGCCTAAACATTTCTCTGTATGGAGCATCCCTTCCCATGGTAGTAAGGATAAAAGTGACGTGCTTCTAAAGCAGGCATGGGCAAACTTAGGCCCTCCAGGTGTTTTGGACTCCAACTCCCACAATTCAGAATTGTGGGAGTTGGAGTCCAAAACACCTGGAGGGCCCAAGTTTGCCCATGCCTGCTCTAAAGCATTCCCAGTGAAAACTGGAACCTCTCCGCAGTAATTAATGGTTGAAAAGTGAGCCAAGATGTTCACACAAATTTGTGCCAGGAAACAGTTTTTAGACAACATTAACCCCAAATTAATCACAGATTGGGTGTAATTCTGCATGGGAAAACAATCAATCGGGCCTATATAAGAGTTTACAATTAATACTCAGTATGTTAAAAACTCAGGTTTCGACGGTTGGGAATATTGAAAGCTCTGTCCAAGTAGTCAACAAACACTGCAAGGATTTTTCCTTTTACAGTTATACCGGCATGGAAAGAGATCCTGCCAACCTTTGAATGCTCTAATCCCTGGTCATTAATTTTACTTGTTCTTCAAAGGAATATTAGCCAAGAGAGAATTGGGGATGAAAGCCAATCATGATCTGTCTTCAGAAGGAAAGTTGGAGACTGAGGACCTCATCACACTGGAGAATGAATCCACTTAAAATCTGGTTGCTGTCTCCTGCAGAATTCTGGGGTTTGTAGTTCAGGGAGGAGCCTTTAACAGCTTCACTAAACTACAAACCCCAGAATTCTGTAGGAGACAGAAAATGGATTTAAATTGGATTTGTTTTCTAGTGTGATGAAGTAATGAGAGTCTTCAAAATCTTCAACAATTGCGGCTTTTCTCCTTTCCAGATTGCAATTGTAACTTGTAGTCTGAATTTGGTGAAGTTGCTTTTTTGGATGATAACACAATTTCCTAGCCACATGGCAATGGTGGCCTGGAGATTGTGAAAGCCACAACTATAAAAATCAGGTTTCTGAGTTTTGTTTTTTACTTGTATGCTGAAAAGGTGTGGTTAAGTGATAGAAAAGAATTAGTCAAGCCAAAAGGGGAAAAAGAGTTACACTTCACCTTCAGCACGGTCGTTCACATTTTCTTTCACTGTATATCACTGTTTATAATGCACCTTGTTTACCTCATTTAGGAGGAAGTTAATGTTGGTCTTGTATAGAATAATCAATGTATCAAAATTTATTGGGGTTGTTGGCCATGACAATAAAAAATATATTAAGTTAAAATTCACACAAGAAGAAATAAAATATTTACACACAAGTTTGCAGTCCACTAGGTTACATGATACTAGATTTTTGTCAGAATTTTGTAGCAGCTTAGACAAATTCTGCTGTTATTTGACTTCTTATATAAATTATTCAGAAGGTTGTTTTTTTTAGAGAAACTGTTTTTAGTCGTGAGCAAGAGGAGCTTTTCCAGGCTTTTGAAGAAAGAGCAATTAAACAAATTAATGGGTTGCTGTGAGTTTTCTGGGCCGTCTGGCCATGTTTCAGAAGCATTCTCTCCTGTCGTTTCACCCACATCTATGGCAGACATCCTCAGAAGTTGCTAGGTCTGTTGGAAACTAGGCAAGTGGGGTTTCTATATCTGTGGAACTAGCCAGCCCCACTTTCCTAGTTTCCAACAGACCTATCAACCTCTGAGGATTCTGGCCATAGATGTGGACAAAACTTCAGGAGAGAATGCTTCTGGAACATGGCCATACATCCCGGAAAACTCATAGCAACCGAGTGATTCAGGCCAAGAAAGCCTTTGACGACACATTAAACATATAACGTGAGCTGTCTTCCATTCCTTCTTTACCCTAAATATAAAAGTTGGGTCTACTCAGCAGAGTAGTCTTTACAGCAGAAAATATGTGATTTCTGGGAATTTGTCCACAGTCCCACCTTTCCTATTGTTCCAGAAGAGGAGATGATACATAGTTCTTGCAACAGAGCCTTCTGATTGGTCTGATTTATATTTGAATAGAGTGTTGAGAAGCTACCCAAGAGGCCATATGGAAATTACTTAATTGAGGCACCTGTTTAAAACATTAAGTCTTCCTTAAGTTGACGATGTCTTCCAGATGTTTCTGAACTGAAGCTCACACAATTGAATTTACTGGCTGGAACTAACAGGAGATGCAATCCAAAAACCTGGAGAGCATGTTTCCTATATGTGCTATAGATTATTGTGTCCTAAAATACCTCTCTAGTGTGAATATGCAGAGTGGTTTGGTTGGTGATTGACATTCACAACTAGAAGTTGATACTACCTATCTAGTATTCTTACACCGGTAGAAGAATTGCTTGTATTGTGATCCCTATAGTCAGTGGATAGATAAGGCCACAGTGCATTAGTTATCAAATGTTGGTTGATAGTAAAGGGCTTCAGTGGTTACAATGCTGTTAAACCTGCTTTTTGCAATTACTATTAACTTTCATGATTTTTTGACATGTGGCAACCAATGGTTCTTCCAACACTGAGATTTCCAGCTGCAATCTCTTTTCAAAATTGTCATTTCCTTGTTGGAGAGAAGAGGGATGCATGAAAAGATGTTGAGCTTTCTACCTATCGTTGGGTTCACTGCATTTGAAGAGATCTCATAGGGATCCCAAACGAAAAGAGAGATTGACATTTCTCAGCTCATTCCTCTTTTCTTTGGCAACACGGAAATTGACATTTTGGAGGATTGTGCTACTGAAATGGTAGCTTTTGGGGATTACATTGGGAGACATAACCACAATATGATGCCCAGGGCATTATATTGCCCCCAAGTAAACTGTTCAAACTGTGAAGCACACACAGTGCCGTGGCTTCAAAACCACAGGGTTATTGTAACAAACAAGTGAACAAATCCTAAATATATGTTTTTGTTTCATGCCAGTGGCTGCCATCCTTTGCTCCTCCAGGTCTTTTGAACTACAGCTCCCAGAATTCCTGATTATTGGGCAAGCTGTCCAGGGCTTCTGGGAGTTAGAGTCCCAAACCAGATGACCAAAGGTTGGACACCATTGTTTTATGCTGCCAGAAATAATACAGAGCTTTGAATGTGGCTTACAGGAACCAAAGAGAATCTCAAAACAACCCCTGGAAGAATATTGGCGCATATGCTACTTTTCTATGTAAATCCTGTATTCCTAAAAATGTGTAGTGATACATATGATCACAACTTTTTAAAAGAAATTTTGGGATATTGTTCCTCCTATGCTTATGCTTCACGTGTATGACAGCATGGTTTCTATTGCAAGTTAGATTAAGAATGTACATAACAAAAGAAAAAAGAAAACTATTTTTTATGGAGAAATCTTATTTTCAGACATATTTTACTGTTGTTTCCTTGTTACAGAAAGGCTATAAATAATTTAAGAGGTGTGTGTATTAAAAAAAGTTATAGGGAAAAATACTGTAGTTCTCCTTATTTTAAAGTAAGACTTGCCTGTTATGGCTTAATTGCACCTGATCTGCATGTGCTTTAACTTCAGGATGTAATTTATTCAGGTTTGCACTAAAGATGCTTTAATTTCATAATATATGACATAGTAAGGTTTTTGTTAGTTTCCCTTTTGGGAGGGGTGAATTTTGGGGGCAAGAATCTCGTTTGGTACATGAGAGAGAGCACTTTGTATAGAATATTTCAGCCTTTTCTTATATTGACAAATAATTGTATTTGTAAAATCAAAGGGAATCCGTGTAAGCATTCTGCCAAAAAGGACAGTATTTTATACTTTTGATATGATGTACTTTGTTAATTTTTATTTTGTTTTGTTCACAGGGTGAAAAAAATTCTTTTAAATAAATTAATCTACATTTAAAATGTTGGTTGTTGCTGTTTATTTGTTCACTCACTTCTGACTCTTTGTGACCTCATGCACCAGCCCACACCAGAGCTCCATGTCGGCTGTGGCCACCCCCGGCTCCTTCAAAGTCAAGCCAGTCACTTCAAGGATACCATCCATCCATCTTGCTCTTGGTCGGCCCCTCTTCATTTTTCCTTCAATTCTCACCAACATCATTGTCTTCTCCAAGCTTTCATGTCTTCTCATGATGTGGCCAAAGTACTTCATCTCTGTCTCTAATATTTTTCCCTCCAGTCAGCAGTCGGGCTTTATTTCCTGGAGGATGGACTGGTTTGATCTTCTTGTGGTCCAAGGCACTCTCAGAATTTTCCTCCAACACCACAGTTCAAAAGCATCTATTCTCCTTTGCTCAGCCTTCCTTATGGTCCAGCTCTCGCATCCATAAGTTACTACGGGGAATATCATTGCTTTAACTATGCCGCTCTTTGTTGCCAGTGTAATGTCTCTACTCTTCACTATTTTATCGAAATTGGTCATTGCTCTCCTCCCAAGAAGTAAAAGTCTTCTGATTTCCTGGCTGCAGTGTGCGTCTGCAGTAATCTTTGTGTCTAAAAATACAAAGTCTGTCACTCCCTCCACGTTTTCTCCCTTTATTTGCCAGTTATCAAACAGTCTGGTTGCTATAATCTTGGTTTTTTTTATGTTGAATTGCAACCCAGCTTTTGCACTTTCGTCTTTCACCTTGGTTAGAAGGCTGCTCAGCTCCTCCTCGCTTTCAGCCATCAAAGTTGTATCATCCACATATCTAAAGTTGTTAATGTTTCTTCCAGCAATTTTAACTTCAGCCTTGGATTCACCAAGCCCTGTATGTCGCATGAATTGTTCTGCATACAAGTTGAATACAAATTAAAATGTGTACGGACTTAAAAAAAAAAAATTAGGTTTGTGAATGTCCCCTACCAACAAATGTGGACAGTTTATATTATAAAAAGTGTCCAGTGAGGTGTCAAGAGGGCTCAGATATGGTGCTATCAACATCTTTATTCAAGATCTTCATCAATGATTTGGATGACAGGATAGATAGAAGGCACTCGTACCAATATTGCAGAAGACACCAAATTGGGAGCGATTGTGAATACCCCAAAGCACAGGAGCAGAAACCAAAATGTCTGTAGATTTGAGGGCTCGGCCAAAAGTAACAAAAGGCATTTCAACAGGGAGAAATGTACAGTGTTACACTTAGGCAGAAAAAATGAAATACAAAGATACAGAAGAGGGTGACGCCTGTCTCGACAGCAGTCCATGTGAGAAAGATCAGCAATCCATGTGAGAAAGATCTTGGAGTCTTAGTAGACCACAAGCTGAACATGAGCCAACAGTGTGATGCAGCGGCTAAAAAGCCAATGGGATTTTGGGCAGCATCAAAAGGAGTACAGTGTCTAGATCAGTGATTCCAAACCTGTGGTCCGTGGACCACCAGTGGTCCCCAAGAATGAAAATATGTTCTGCAACCTCTCCATTACTACACCTTTGCCTCATAACCATGCGGCATTGAGAGCTACTGGTCTTGAGAAACCCTCCTACAGTGCCTAGACAACAGAGATGGCAGGAGGAGAGAGGCTGACTACTCACGAAAGATTACTACCACATCAGCTCTAAATTATTAAATATGGTTTTCTGTGGGCAAGCAGATGGTGACTACTGGATGGCATATGTTCTGTATCAGAACTAGAGCTGATGTGGTCTGTCCAATGCAATTTTCTGAATCAGCATCCGAAATAACCAAACCAAATCTAAAGTTGACCAAAAACAGATGTGTAACTCTTGGTACTAATGTTGGAGAGCGGTCCCTGGCCAAGTGGTCCCTAGTCACAAAAAGATTGCGGACCACTGGTCTATATCAAGGGAAGTCATTCCTGCTGCCCTGAAGATTAGGACATGGAACAATGGCTTCAAATTACAGGAAAGGAGAATCCACCAGAACATTTGAAAGAACTTCCTAACTGTGAGAGATATACACACACATATATATGCAAATACACAAATACACACACACAAAGCACATATACACAGATTGGGCCACAGCAATGAGTGGCAGCGGACGGCTAGTACAATATAATACTAATACAATATAATAATATAACATTGTAATATAATAGTATATTAATTATAATATTACTGATAATATAATATATAATTATATTATATATATAATATAATATAGTACTGTTTTATTACTGGATATTTGCATATTTGAAGTTGTGTTGCAGTGTTTTTAATTGTGAGCCGCTTTGAAACTCCGTATGGAGAGGTAAAGCATAGAATCATAGAATCAAAGAGTTGGAAGAGACCTCATGGGCCATCCAATCCAACCCCCTGCCAAGAAGCAGGAATATTGCATTCAAATCACCCCTGACAGATGGCCATTCAGCCTATGTTTAAAAGCTTCCAAAGAAGGAGCCTCCACCACACTCCGGGGCAGAGAGTTCCACTGCTGAACGGCTCTCACAGTCAGGAAGTTCTTCCTCATGTTCAGATGGAATCTCCTCTCTTGTAGTTTGAAGCCATTGTTGCCGTCCTAGTCTCCAGGGAAGCAGAAAACAAGCTTGCTCCCTCCTCCCTGTGGCTTCCTCTCACATATTTATACATGGCTATCATATCTCCTCTCAGCCTTCTCTTCTTCAGGCTAAACATGCCCAGCTCCTTAAGCCGCTCCTCATAGGGCTTGTTCTCCAGACCCTTGATCATTTTAGTCACCTTCCTCTGGACACATTCCAGCTTGTCAATATCTCTCTTGAATTGTGGTGCCCAGAATTGGACACAATATTCCAGGTGTGGTCTAACCAAAGCAGAATAGAGGGGTAGCATTACTTCCCTAGATCTAGACACTATGCTCCTATTGATGCAGGCCAAAATCCCATTGGCTTTTTTTGCCGCCACATCACATTGTTGGTTCATGTTTAACTTGTTGTCCGTGAGGACTCCAAGATCTTTTTCACACGTACTGCTCTCGAGCTAGGCATCCCCCATTCTGTATCTTTGCATTTCGTTTTTTCTGCCTAAGTGGAGTATCTTGCATTTGTCCCTGTTGAACTTCATTTTGTTAGTTTTGGCCCATCTCGCTAATCTGTTAAGATCATTTTGAATTCTGCTCCTGTCTTCTGGAGTATTGGCTATCCCTCCCAATTTGGTGTCGTCTGCAAACTTGATGATCATGCCTTCTAACCCTTCATCTAAGTCATTAATAAAGATGTTGAACAGGACCGGGCCCAGGACGGAACCCTGCGGCACTCCGCTTGTCACTTCTTTCCAGGATGAAGAGGAAGCATTGGTGAGCACCCTCTGGTTCGTCCATTTAACCAATTACTGATTCACCTCACCATAGTTTTGCCTAGCCCACATTGGACTAGTTTCCTTGCCAGAAGGTCATGGGGGACCTTGTCGAAGGCCTTACTGAAATCCAGGTACGCTACATCCATCTACAGAGAAAGAGAGAGAGGGGAAGATTCTAATGCTGAGGGGAAAAGACCTTGCCATTAAGTATAACTCAGGAGTCCTCAAAGGACCTGCTCTTGCTGCATCTTCACTGTAAACATCCTGGCGAACTCTATGATAAGCGGCGGCAAGAACAGCCCTGCCGGGAGTTTAGCTCTATGAGTCTCTAGTAACCGGAAGTTTGGGTGAAAGAGGGGAGAAAGAAAGATGGCGGCGCACAGGGGATGGAGTCTCTTACGCCGGTTGTGGCAGGTGATAAATAGCTTTCGCGGGGCCGGGAAGGAGGGAGGGAGGGCTGGCGTTGGGTTCCTGAAGAGGGGAAACCGCTTTCTCTTGGCGCCCTCACCGTCCGGTCCTCTTTTGATTGCGACTCTAAGGGAATCTTGGGTTTTCTTGGCCGGCTTCCTTCAGAAGGGCGCGCCTTTGCCTTCCGCCGAGGCTGGGAGAGTGGGGCTTGCCCGCGTTCGCCAGGAGGCTTCCCTTGTGATGCGGGGATTACACCCTGGCCTCCAGAGCCGGAGTTCCACGCCAACTTGGGCCCTCCCGGTGCTTTGGACTTCAAATCTCACAATTCACAACAGTCGGTAGGCTGGGTTGTTGTAGGTTTTTCGGACTATATGGCCATGTTCTAGAAGCATTCTCTCCTGACATTTCGCCCGCATCTATAGCAAGCATCCTCATATAGCCCAAAACACCTACAGCAGGGGTCCTCAAACTTTTTTAAACAGAGGGCCATGTCACAGTCCCTCAAAGTGTTGGAGGGCTGGATTATAATTTGGAAAAAAATAAATAAATGAATTCTCATGCACACATCTTATTTATAATTTATTTATTTCAGTTACTTATACCCCGCCCTTCTCACCCCCAAGGGGGGACTCAGGGCGGCTTACAAAGGAAGGCACAATTCGATGCCTGTGTCAAAAATACATACATACATAAAAGCAGTCAAACAGTTAACAGGTTAAAAACATCAGTACATAACACAATAGTAAACAATCTCATGGTCAGTGTTCAGAGTTCCATAAATCCATTCCGTTCTGTCAATTCCTGCCCATCAACAAGGTCTTTCCTTTAGCTGCCAGAGTGTCCAAAAGCCTGGTCCCACATCCAGGTCTTCAATTTTTTTCTGAATGACAAAAGGGAAGTCACTGATCTAATCTCCCCGGGGAGTGAGTTCCACAGGTGAGGGGCCACTACCGAGAAGGCCCTGCTCCTCGTCCCCGCCAGCCTCACTTGTGATAGAGGCGGGGTCGAGAGCAGGGCCTCCCCAGAAGATCTTAAACTCCGAGGTGGGACATAGAGGGAGATCCGTTCGGACAGATACACTGGGCCGGAACCGTATAGGGTTTTGTAGGTCAAAACCAGCACTTTGAATTGTGCTCGGAATTGGATCGGCAGCCAGTGGAGCTGACACAACGGGGGGTGGTATGCTCCCTGTATGCTGCTCCGGTGAGCAATCTGGCTGCCTCCCGCTGGACTAGTTGGAGTTTCCAAGCAGTCTTCAAAGGCAACCCCACGTAGAGTGCGTTGCAGTAATCCAATCGGGATGTGACAAGAGCGTGGACCACCGTGGCCAGATCCGACTTCCCAAGATACGGGCGCAGCTGGCGCACAAGTTTTAATTGTGCAAAAACTCTCCCGGCCACCGCCAAGACCTGGGGCTCCAGGCTCAGCGATGAGTCCAGGATCAAAATGCAAAAAACAATGCAAATAATTCAAAAAACACTTTAAAACAATAGAATAATTAAAATGAAAAACAATTTTAACAAATATAAACTTATTAGTATTTCAGTGGGAAGTGTGGACCTGATGAGATAGGGTTGTTGTTGTGCGCTTTCAAGTCATATGTAGGTTGACCCTGAGCGAGGGCCAGTAAATGACCCTGGAGGGCCGTATCCAGCCCCTGGACCTTAGTTTGAGGATCCCTGACCTACAACAACCCAGCGATTCCAGCCATGAAAGCCTTCGACAATAGTTGGTGGGCTTCAACTATGTGTAAGCCGCCTTGAGTCCCCCTCTGGGATAGAGAAAGGTGGGGTATAAAGAAGGTACATAAATAAATAAATAGACACAAAACATCTCAATCAATGAAATAACCGATAAAACACAACAAATTTCAGTTAAAAGGGAATTATACAAACCATGTTATGCACCCCCGCCACAAATGGATTAAAAATATCAGCATTAAAAATGTCAGGGTAGAACTTAGTTCTATTCAGATCCGCCAGTTTAGAGGGTACATTAACCATTGTCAAAGGCTTGATTGAACAGCCTTATGTTCAGCTCCTTCCAAAAGGACTGAATTTCCCTGGGGAGAGCATTCCAAAGCTGGGGGGCCACATGATGGTATCTGATGAAAAGCTATTATACACATAATGGGGATCAAGATCACTAATATGCCCACCTCTGTGGGAAAGCAGCCCCATCCCTGTGGCATGGCTGTTTGCAGCTTCTGCATTAAGCCTGACAGGAGGCAATGGGTAGGAAAACTTGAGCACATGGCTATGCCAGCTGTTTTAGCTGGATATATAGTTCACATTTTTAAATTTTCTTGTGATGTGTTTGTTTAAATTCTCAGGATAATGCTTTGTTGGTATGACATTGAATGTTTGCCACGGGGAGATAGGGCAGGATATAAAGGATGATGATGATATAAAGAAAGAATATGATAATGATTATTATATCAGCTCATTTAGATCTGAATGCATGTAGAAGGTCACAGGGCAATGGAGGCACGTAAGAGATCCATGGAGAGTTGGATGTGAATAAAAGGCATGGAAAGAGATTGCAGAATAAAAGTGAATGAATACTTTGCAGGCAACAAAGTGGCTTTTTTATCATATGGATGTGTGTTTAAGACTGCACTTTGAGGCATGATTTTATTTAACTAGCTAATTCTGAAACTGTTGTCTCTGACCAGTGATATATTAGCATAGCTGCCATAAAGTACCAGTTCTATCATTCTTGTTTTTCTAGGGGCAAGACAATGTCCTTGTAAAAAACAGCGTGCCACTAAAGCAACACAACTTTCTACAGTAAGTTTACTGCTTGCAGGCAAGTTTTTAACAGTGCAGTGCACTTCTGCTTAATAGTATGTTCCTCAGTGGGATTTATTCCCTCTTATGTGTTTTATGGGATTGCAACCTCATACTCATGTTCATATTATATTAATGAAATAATCTTTCTTGCTCCCTTTCAGAAACAATCATCTGATGTGGTTTCAGCTTTCAGGAGCCCATACCGAAATTCAGCAGCCTAAGGAGAACACACTGGTAAGTTTGAACCTTTTTGTTCAAACTAACTGTGAACATTGACAGAAAAAATTAGATTGTCCTGAGATACTTGTTTGGATGTGTTTAAAATGTTTTTGATTGTAACAGTGTTTCTGCCTTTATAATTTGAAAAGAATAATGGCTAGAAATTAATATTTATTCAGAATGTTGCCTTAGAATATGTATACTTATTCGTTTTTCTACCATTACTTATACATGTAGGTTTCTACTTCAGATGAGCCGGATACACTATATAAGAGACTGGCTGTTCTTGTTAAAGGCCACGACAAAGCTGTGTTGGATAGTTATGAATATTTCATGGTGCTTGCCGCTAAAGAACTTGGACTCTCAATTGAAAAAGTGTATGTATTACTTACTTTTGTAGTGGCCTAGTTTTTCAAAATTTCCTTTTTCGAAAAAGCTTACAAAAAAGTGGTTGAAGTGCAACTTAAATTTAGCTTTTCAATCCTAGTAATTCCTTTGACTTGAATTTTCTTTATTCCACTGGTGGATTAATGGAGAAAAGGGTAGTCACAGCAGCAAGAAATTTATTTATTTATTTATTTATTTATTTATTTATTTATTTATTTAATTTCTACCCTGCCCTTCTCCCCACATGACCTGGGACACCAGTGGCAAGTAAAAGAAGCAAAATAACTTGTACCATGGGCAGTTATCAGTGGTAGTCATAGTGGTAGCCCAGTGGACCAGTGCTGATTTAGGATCTATCTGTTGCTAGTCTTTACTCCAGGAAATTAAATAACAAATGTAGCCTGTGGACACAAATATAGTACAGACCCTTGGTCCACTTTGCCATGTGAAGCAATAGCCAATGGTAAACTTGTTGTTTATATTCTTCTCTATATAATGAAGTATCGGGGCAGAATAGGTAAATAGGCTGTCAAAATTTAAAACCCAACTGAATTCCCATCTCTTCTGGCAGACCTATCCAGTCAATTTTAACTAGTGAATGTTGACCTCCTGGGTGAATTTAAATCTGTATTTTATCTATGTATATTTTTTATGTTTTGTTTTAACTTGCTGTTTTGACCTTGTTGTACCCTGCCTCAAGCTACAAGGAGAGGTAATAAATAAATAAATAAATAAAATTAAAATACAAAGCATAAATTATTATTTTATTAAATAAATAGATTAGAGAAAAAACAGAATAAAACAATGTAAAACCATATGCACAAAGATGTTGGGGTAGTCCAGTTAGAGCGCAAAGGTTTTTGCATGATCTTAATGGTACACAAATAAAGATAGTGTTTAAAGATAGTCTTTGTGCAGGCATACAGGAAGAGGCATTCTTTTGATGTCCCAAACCTCATGGGACCTTGTTTTCATAATTACCTTGAAAGGATATTTAGGATATTTAAGCTTTTTTGGCCATCAGTGTAACACTTCCTAAGAATTCCAGTACGTCATATAAATAACTGGAGGGAAGGATGTTAGAGGCAAAGATGAAGTACTTTGGCCATATAATAAGAAGACAGGAAAGCTTGGAGAAGATAATGAAAATGAAAGGAAAAATGAAAGGAAGAGGGGTTGACCAAGGTCAAGATGGATGGATGTTATCCTTGAAGTGACTGGATTGACATTGAAGGACCTGGAGGTGGTGATAGCTGATAGGGAGCTCTGGTGTGGACTGTTCCATGAAGTCACAAAGAGTCAGAAGTGACTGAACGAATAAACAATGTATGATGCCATTCTTATGATATTACTGATAGCACTTTAAATGTGTGTTTTCTCATTTCTCTTTTGAATTGTGGATGAAAGTTCTTTATGCCAGCTAAAATACAGTTGCAGATTATAGATTTCTTCTTGGCGCAGGATTTGTTACTATCAACCTTGATTAAGATCTGTTGGAACTCAGATTTGTAATCTGATAGCAATCCCACTTGGAGCATTATTGATGATGAAAGCTACCAGATGGGTAGAAAGAAATGATGTACTGAGACACATATTTCTATTAAAAATACTTTCTCTTTTAGAGAAGAACCTCAGAAAAAAATCGAGCGTTTCACACTTCTGAAATCAGTGCACATTTATAAGAAGCACAGAGTTCAGTATGAAATGAGAACACATTATCGATATGTGGAGGTGAGTGAAAAGTTGTATGTTCCATTCAGACGTGTGTATGTCAGGATTAAAAAACCTTCTGATCATTGCCTCTGATGTTGAGGAACTGCATTATCTTATGAACAATCTAGCAACTAGATCCACAATTTTTTACCATACTGGTGGGAATGGTTTTCTAACTCTAAGTTTAATAGTGGGGCACGCATTTTATCTGTATGTGTGAATGTATGTACACATGTTATGCTCTATCTAACACATCAAACTGACCAAGAGCCATATTCAGCCCAATAATTTCCTTTTTTTGTCATGTCAGGAGCGACTTGAGAAACTGCAAGTCGCTTCTGGTGTGAGAGAATTGGTCATCTGCAAGGATGTTGCCCAGGGAATGCCCGGATGATTTTTGATGTTTTTATCATCCTTGTGGGAGGCTTCTCTCATGTCCCCGCATGAGGAGCTGGAGCTGATAGAGGGAGCTCACCCGCCTCTCCCCGGATTCAAACCTGTGACCTGTCAGTCTTCAGTCCTGCCGGCACAGGGGTTTAACCCATTGCGCCACCGGGGGCTCCAATAATTTCCTGACTCTAGTAGAGCCAGCATGGCTTAGTGGCTTGAGCTTAGACTACAACTCTGAAGGCAAGATTAGCCATGAAACTCTCCAGGTGGGCAAGTAACACTTGTTCAACATCAGAGGAATGCAAAGACAGACCTCTTCTGAACAAATCTTTCCAAGAAACGCCCGTGAAAAGGCTGCCATGGGTTGGGAATTATTTGAATGCACACAGCAACAACAACAAAGTATTACTGTGTGTGTGTGTGGACAAGTCTAGAACTTTAGCCAGAAAATCAAGCCAAAAAATCTGGGGCTATGTAGCTGTCAAAGAGGAGGCATTCCCTTCTCAGTAGAGTGATAAAAGGCTAGAGGTTCATCCATCCCAGAGAAACGTAAAAGAAGAACCAGCTCCTTCAATTCTCTCCAAGAGGCACTTTTGGCCTTTTTGACTGCAAAGGCAAGAAAATGGCAGCAGTGGCTCTTTTAGGTTTTCCCAGGATTGATTGCTTTTAGCCACTTTGCTCACAGAAAGGAATGGTTTCTTTTTTGGGTAAAAGTAAATACTGTATGTTGACTTTTATCCATAAAGAAACTTCATTGAGTAGAGTTATGAAATCATTTTTGAATGCCTTTGTGGGAAAATAGCAGCAGCCTGGAGCCCTCAAGTTATCCATAAGTTATATCAAAATTTATAGTTTTGTCCGCAAAACCTACCCATGAGGTCAACTTATACATGAATAGCTGGATAAAAACAAAGCAAGATTGCACAAACTGCAGTAAACCCCTTGGTAACTCAGATATGATTCATATCTTTTACAGTGGTTATCCTACGTACTTTAGATTGTCTTCCTTGGCATTTAAAAATTATTACATGAAAACTAAAACGTATTTGTTCTTTCAGTTAAAGCATTTAACTGGCAGCACAGCCAATGTTTACTTGGAATACATTCAACGAAATTTACCTGAAGGAGTTGCCATGGAAATAAAAAAGGTATTAAATATGTATTAAGTTTGCTGTATGTAAATGTGACATAGACCTCTCGTTTTAATTATACATCAAAGGATTTCTTTTTTTACTGTCAAAATTCTCCATTAATAGAAAATCTCACCTATGTGTTGGATTTTAAATGTATAATTCACATTAATTATCAATAATTAATTACAGTAGAAGAATTAGTGAGCCTACCAACTGACATATATTTTTGTATTTGTTTTTAGACCAGATTAGAAAGACTTCCTGAACATATTCAGACACCTGTTTGGGATACACTGCCTGAAATAGAAGAAACAGCAGCTAAATCATGAAACATCTAGGCTCCACCTATTTAACTTAAAATAATAAAAGAAATGTAAGTTTTATTATGAAAATGCCTTATTAATTTCAACAATACCCGTGCTGCATTGGTTTTAAGGAACCTGCTTTATTGATCACACAGCTGCAATTAGAATTCTGTTCAGAAGATTTGGACGAAAGCAGGTATTTGACGAAACTGTTTTATGTACGTCTGTGATTTGTGTAAACAGTTAAAACTGAAATGTGCACGAAGGAAATATTTTATAAATTATTCTATCAAAACTGTTGACTATAGTGTTTAAAGTTCATGTTATTTCCTTTTTGAGCTTTCCTTTTTGAGCTTTCAGTAATCTAAGACTAATGATATTATTTGCTGAAGCCTTTTCTACTGAACTTCTGACAAAAGTGTTACCAAAATATTCGTTCACGTGGGATTATATAATACAGTTCACAGTATTCCTTAAATGGTAATTTTATATAATTTTAAATAGGATAGTAATAAGCAGTAGGTTGTTCAGAGGTGCATGGCTGCATCAGTAGTTTACTAGTAATTATGCATATGCTGGTTTTGACTTCTCTCCACATTCAAGGGAAGGTACTGTCTTCAGTGCCCTTGATACAAACTCTTATTTACAGCTCACAAAGCCCAGTCTATGGACTTGTCTGTGTGTGTCAGGAGTGACTTGAGAAACTGCAAGTTGCTTCTGGTGTAAGAGAATTGGCCATCTGCAAGGCTCAGATGTTTTACCATCCTGTGGGAGGCTTTTCTCATGTCCTGAATGAGAAGCTGGAGCTGCCAGATGGGAGCTCAACCCACCCCCCGGATTTGAACCACTGACCTTTCGCTCAGCAGACCTGCTCGCACAAGGGTTTAACACATTGTGCCACCAGGGGACTGGCAGAATAACACACAACCAAACGTGAAGCAACTTCTTCTTAACTTTTAGATAAATATAGAAATATGTGTCTGCATAAAAAAGTTTGGCACCGTTCTTGGTTCAAGAAAGGGTAGGATAATATGGGTTGTATTTCAATGGCTGAAAGATTTGACAAAGAAAAGTAGCTCTGGCTTACGTTCTCTGTAGAGGTCCTCTGATCCTTTAATTTCAGTGACATATACTTCTGCGCTGGGTACTCTCGATTGTACTGTTATTTGCTTTTATTATCAATTGACATAAACTGCAGAGTCTGGAAGTGTATGATTATAATCTACACACCACCATCTGAAATATAAATATTTCAGAGGCGGTTTGTGTGTACTGTCAAGATACAATAAGTAGGTTCTCTGAACCCTTTTGTGGGGTGGAGGGGAAGAGAATAAAATAGGATATCTACCTCAACCCTTCTTTGCCCGCCTCCATTTCTACTTTTTTGAAAGTTTTAAATTTAGTGAGATGCTTTTGATTCTGCTCCAATAACAATGAATAGTTGTTTGAGACTAGATGTTACTACAGCTAGTCAACATATGCTGCAAATACATTAACTTGAAACCTAATATCTTCACTTTCCTCCAAGTGAAGGGAAGATTTTTGCAGGATATGTTACTTTCCCACCAATTCAAGAGCAAATGGGAATGCAAATACCAATAATGTCAGCTATTCTTAAAGAATTGGGGTTAAGAACTTGGCACTGTGAAATGGCCAAGCTGTTGGCACAGTAATCTTAAGCTGATTTTTCTTTCTAAGCTGTTCAGTTTTTTCCTGCTGAAGAGGAAGTGCAAGACAAAGCTGTGCCAATGTGCTTCTCTTAATTAGAGCGCTTCTGAGCAGATACTAATCTCCCACGCAGAGTTTACTAATAACCTAAGGGTGCTTAAAAACAGTCAGAATCCCGTGGAAAATATTGTTAGTCAGGGCACCAACCAATCTGTTCCTCTAAATTTTTAAGTATTTAACTCCTGTATCCTTCTCCAAATTCAATTTTTTCCACAATAGTCCTGTGAATATAATCTTGCCATTCCCATTTTACAGGCAGGGAAGTCATTAATCCCAAAGCAGCATATTCCTTTGTCAGACATCTTTGTCAGGCTATTCTTAATATTTAGGTGGCATCTCCTGTAGTTCAAATCCATTGCTCCATTTCCTAGTCTCAAGCAGGAGAAAGCAAATTTGCTCCCTCTTCAATATAACTTCCTTTCAAATATTTAAACATGGCTATCATGTCCCCTTTCAGACTTTCTCCCTAAACTGCTCCTCATAGGACTTTGCTTCCAAACTTTTGATCATTTTGGCTGCCATTCTCTGGACACATTCTAGCTTGTTGCGATTCTTGATACTTCCCATGGTCTAAACAGGATATTCCTATAGGTACAACCTACACTAGAGATGTATTGGTTTTTTTAATGCTGCTGACTAATGTTCAGCTTGATTGAGTCTTATGATTCTAAAACTATTTTAACATGTCCCGTTGTTAAACCAGGTGTCACCATCTTATATCTGTGTTTCATTTTTTTTTCTACCGAAGTGTCGTACATGTCTTCCTGGTGAAATTTCATGTTGTAAGTTTTTGCTCAGCTCTGCAACCTGTTAAGGTTAATTTGAATTCTTATTCTGTCCTATGAGGTATTAGCTACCTCTCCGAATTAGGTGCCATCTACAAATTTGATAAGCAAACCCTCTATCTCATCATCCTAGTCATTGATAAACAGTACTGGGCATGGGGCAGATTCTGTGGAACCCCACTGGTCACTCCACCCCAGGATGAGGAGGAGCCATTGGTAAGCACCATTTAGGTTTGGTTGATCAACCAATTACAAATCCACCTAACTGTAGTACTGTTTAGCCCACATTTTGCTAGCTTGTTTGCAAGAATATGGGGAACTTCATCAAAGGCCCTATTGCAATCTAGATATACTATATCCACAGCATTCCATCATCCATCAAGACTGCAATACAATGAAGAAATGAGAGGCAATTCTGTTTAATTTTTCCTATTATCAATGTCTGGTTGATTGAGTTTGGGTCCTCTTTTCTCCCTTTTTGAAAATGGGGACATTTGCCTTCCTCCAGTTTGCTGGGTCTGCTCCTGTTTTCCAGGAATTATCAAATTATGCCTCTTAATATGTCACTTTTCAGAGACTCCCATCCATCCAACTCCTTTCTCTTTTAAGTATTCCTTATCCTGGGATCATACTCAGATTTTTAAATTATTGAAATCAGCTTTCTTAAAAGTCAAGAATGCATGTCTATGTTTGACATCTCCTTTCTGCTGCACAACAAATTCTAAAAGAACAGTTACTTTCACTTAAGGAGCATAACACTTCTACGTCATTTACCAAGCTGTCACTGTTGGTTGGGATCAGTTTTAAAATAACAGAGCTTGTTGTTTCTTCCACCTAGACAATGAAGTCATCTGAAAGGCAAGTGGGGAATTTGTTTGACCATACACTCATAGTAGAATTTGACTTTTAAGAAATACTAGATTAGTTGAAATTTCCCCTTAGTGGGTTTAACTTTTTTTTGGATTTGATTAATATAGTGTCCTCCAACACAACTCTATGGTTAGCCTCCAGCAGAACTGACCATGGAGTAAAACTGGAGGGTCTAGACAGATATTTTCAGATTAAAAAAACACTTATTTCCCATTTGTCTGCTTCACGGGTTCTCTGCCCTCACCATAGCAAATGTGAAAAGCTGGCTATACATCTTTCCTTTCAGAATATGTGATGATCTCTTCCAGAGAGGCATCATACAAGTCCCCAGTCCAGTCTGTAGCTGACTGCCACAGTGACAACCCTGTTCCTCCTCCTAATGTTTAACCAGATGCTCTCAACCTGACTTTGGATTTAGGTCATATGTAAACATCCTTGACATCTTCATCTGTTGCCTGGGAACTTCTCTTCAAAAAAAAAGAATAAATTCCTTTGTGTAAGCTGTTTCACAGCAATCAGAATAAGGTTGCTAGGATACAAAAAAGTTGCAGGCATAAGACAAATTCCATTCCGATAGAATACATACAAAATGGCTTTTTAGATGAACTGTTCACTACATCATTCTGCTGCAAAGTGAAGATCCAAGTACCTCAATAGCTGTATTGAAAATGCTGGCCCAGAACAAAGTACACAAAGGAGAACGGTGAATAAAACACGATTCATCAATTTCTTATCTGGTGCTCCAAACCACTGAGTGATTTTATACTGACAGTGCATATGCAACACTCATGTGATGTTTCAGCAACAATATCAACAGCAGGATAATGCAGATCTAAACACAAAATCCATTTGAAAGTACTCCTTTTATCACAGTGAAACATTTGCAACTACCTGTTGGAGAAAATGGGACAGAGCAGTATGGTACTTCCTTCTCCATGACGCAGAAGAAACTGGTGCTGGGTGTATTTATATACACCTATATTAGTTGTTTCAATGGCCTATTCATGTACTCTATATACATTATTGACACTGAATAACACACACAGTCACCGTTCATACTTTTTAAACTTTTCATTTATTGATACAAAGCTTTCTCTCCATCGAGGCAAGGTGATCTTGGAAGAGCATTTAGTACAACAGAAAACATGTTTCTTAAATGGGATTTCTCCTTATATTCAACATGAGCCTACTGTAAAGGTTGAACTACATTTCCTTCAAAATGTGTTTATTTTATTTTTAAAGAAACTCTAAATTGTACTTATTGGGAAAATAAACAATAGACAAGGAAGTGCCTCTGCTGAAATTAGGCTCTGTAAAGGCACAAAAAACCTGGTAGAGTTTACTATGTCTGCTTATTTTAATAACCAAAACAGGACTGCTGTGCATACTACATGCTTAAGATAAACAGGATATTGTTTTGATTTGTCATATGTTTCACTGGCATTGCATGTTTGCCATTGTGTTTTATATTGTTGTAAGCCACCCTGAGTCCCCTTGGGGAGATAGGGCGGGCTATAAAGATTATTATTATTATTAAACCATCTTCATGTTTTGCTTTTGTTAACTGAATCCATCACATAATGATGGATTCAATGGACCCTCATCCAACAGTGAGACAAAATGTAACTTCCTCATTGTGGCTAAAATAAAAATACATCTCCACTAACTTTGCATAGCTTGTTTTCAGGTCTAGTGCATAAAATAAAAGGAACAACCTGTTCCCATAGAGATGGTGGGTACATCTATTCAGACTGCCCGTTTTCTGGTCTAAATATTCTATTTTTCTGTCTGATCAGCCCCTATTGGGTACGAAATTGGCTTCTGATCCACTAGTTACCCATTGTACTTTACACAGCAGAGAACAGTTGCATCCCATATACCAGCTTTTGTTTCCCTTTACAGTGAATGAAATAAAATTTACTGTGGTACATGTTTGAACCTAAGAACAGGAACTACTTGGAGATGCTTCTGCAGATCAACTTCTTGGTGTAAGAAATTAGTTTTAAGACCTGACAAATTTCAATTTGAAAAATTAAGATACTAGGAGGCTTAAATGCAGGTTTTCTGCTTTCACTACCAAGAAGCAGCAATTACAATAAAAAAAATTGTCAGAGACATGAAAGTGCCAAAAAAGGATTGGAAGCCATTTGGATGTTTCTATAGCATAATGTCAGTTGGTTCATAAGAATTTTCATCGTTTGACATGTTACTACTGTTTTAGTTAATGGAAGTTTGACACTGCCTCAAAGGGAAAAAAAACCTATTGTTTGTACAGCCATATTTGCCGATGGCTGAATAGAAAATGTGTGCCTGTAAAGTATGTATATCTTGAAGACTAATTCCTTTGAACTTTGTAGCTGTCCAGAGTAGTTGAGGCTATTCAATCATCATCTTTTTCTGCAGAAATCTGACACAGCTTCCAGTTTTCTTTTTCTCTCACTGGCACATTACAGGTAATCATGTACTGAAGATCAATTCCATCTATGAGTTAAAGCAATGTCTGTCTCTTCATAACTCATTTATTAACAACATGAGACATATGTAACTGCATACATGTGTAAACTATTTGTACAACATGGTACTATTCAAAATATTCTCCACTGGTGATGATGCATTTGCAGCATCTTTGAAGTAATCCATCAAATCCACTTTGGAAAAATTATTTCTGGTAATCCCTAATACCATATCTGACAGCATCTCCCATTTCCTCACCATTTCCTTCAGCTGACAACCTGAGGGTGCCAAATCAAGACTGTACAGTGGATGTAAAATGCAAGGTTGCTAAACAAATGTGGAGTCATTTATGGTGTGCTGTAACTGGATTGAATTCACCTGATTCTCCGATCTTTTATGTCTGAATTCTAGAAGTTTCCAGACAGATGCAATGTAATGGTTGGTATTCATTATTTTGCCAAACCCGAAAAAATCAAGCAGAATTGATGCTCCTGTCATCCCAGAAGACATTTATAATCTTCCGATCTTAGATCTATAACAGTTTTCTTAACCTTTTCTGAGCATGACCCCTTTCTAGCCTTGTTTCCTTCCTGGGTCCCCCAGGATATTACAAGGGGGGGGGGGTAAAAAATGTGTTTTTACAAACAAAACATTTCATAGCTACCCTTCAACTGGTAGGACAGGGGGTCCATATGGCCCCAGGTTGAGAAACACTGGGCAAGGGGATGTGGAGTGCTATCACTCTGTGAACTGATTCTTGGTTTCTGGGTTGCACAGGCTTGCCTAGGTTTCATCACCAGTGCAGCGCTTCTTACCATGTTGTAGGCATGCAGAGATATGTAACTGAATGTCTCAATTTACTAATAAAGACGTTATGAGCTGAAATACAGATTTTGTATGCTCAAGGGTTACTTGACTTCTTCATAATGTATTGTTGTGGATTCTGGAAAGAGCAAGAAGGTATTTGCTTATACAATTGGACTTTTCTGGCTCCTCACACCCATCTCTGTTCTACCTCAAAACTAGTTCTTAGGGTCAATAGACACCTGGAACAGCAGCAAGATGGAAGTCAAAACAATCTGGTGGGGCTTTTTTGTGTAAGGAGAAGTACTTTTCCACTCATGCAAGTCAACTACAGCTTTAAGTCAAATTGTGTATTTTTCAGTAACAGAAAAGACTAGATTGAGATACAGTTAAGTACAAAAAAGGATATTCATCACAGTGTTCTGTGCTGTTTTTGGCATGCAGTGCCACTAATGAAGTGAGTTTGATTTGTAACCAAGCCTTGTGACAAACACATGCTTTTTTTACCCAACTTTAGTGTGTTTTGCAGAGTAATTTCTAGACCTGAACACACTGTATCTATTCTAATGGTTGGCTTCTGCAGAAGGCAAAAGTGAGCCTTGGTCTGTAATGTCTGGCGTGTGAAAAATATCAATACCATGTGTGTATATACTAAGAACATGAATAGAAGTCAGATGAATGTACACTTTGTATAAAGAAAAAGAAATTGAGTGGAAAAGGTTTTAAATACTCTCTCACCTCAAATAATGCCTTGATGAAAGCTCTCCCAAAGGTCTGCATGCCATCTCCCACTGGACTCAAAGGGTGACTATGTTACCCTTCAGAAGATAACAACAGCATCATTCTTTCACCATTGGATATATTTAGATAAATGAATTATTAACTAATTTAGCCTTTAAAAAAAGATAACTATTGCTTTACGCTCACAAAGACTAAATAAAAGATGGTTGCGGAATAGAATGTTTAACCAACGGATCTATATTAAATCTATTCTAATTTCACATTATACACTAGGTAGGGATTAAGCCACACTGCAATACAGTTTGACTGCTCTTTCAAGCTTCCCTCGCCATAGCCCTAAGGTCAACACTAGCTGCTATTAATATACAACTAAAGGTCCATTTGCATCCTACAGTTTTTTTAAAAAAAAGAAAAGCTCTCTTCTGACAAATAAATATGAGGTTTAACTATTTCTCTTTGCAATTAATTAACTAAATGAAGTAGCAAAACAAAAGGTACTAATGCAAGGTCTGGTTGTAATTGTTTTTACTAAGCTATGGTTAAAACATGTGGTTCAGCTTTCACTTAATGGGAAGCCATGTGCTTTCATACCTCAATTTATAGCTTTTCTTCATTTTATTTTACTTTGCTTGCAGACTTTGGACCCAATGCTCACGTTAAAAAGCCCCAAGAGCACCAGACTGATAAAAAAGGTTTTAATTCAGCCCTCAGCACAAAAGAATGCAGAATGGGTTAAAATTAAAATAATTTACAGACTGTGATCATCCTTGCCATTAAACAGTGATGTTTCATCTGTCATTTCAACAAGCAACAAAGATTTACACATTCCACTTTTAGTAATTTTTCCAGTGCACAATAAGAAAATCAAATTGAAAGTGACTATAGTATATACAGGAATATTTAATTTAAAATAGTATGTACACTGTTGATATCAACATATCTTTTTTACTTTATTTAGAAATAACATTGCCAGCTGTAATTATACAATTGGTCAAATGTTCAACTATATATGCTATATACCTAATACATTATTGTATACAACTAAAAATTTAAATAGCAAGGTCAAGCTGTGTTTAAAACTAAATTAAAACAAAGCCCATAAACTTTAATTCATTTATAAAATATCTATTTTCTTCTCAACATTCAGAGCTTGTTTTCTCCAATACATTTTATGTACTGGCTACATTTCAAGGCATCACATATAATAATGTGTTACTCAGTATTAATACACCGCTTAATATAGCAACATCTCTTAGCGGTTAAAAATTAGTTATCCCTCACAATATGAAGCATGTCAATGCATTTACTGTAACCAAACGTAAGTGCATTTGAAATAACAGTTCACAAGATTTAGAAGATACAAACACACATTACTGAAACAGATTGAGATCTAGACTAAGAAAGCTGTGCACACTTCATATGTATACAATAAGAAATTAAAGGCTTGACCCATTTTTAAAGTATGTTTCCTTCAAATTTTAGTGTGCATGTATTAGTCTCTCCAAACTCTAGACTTTCAAAAGGATATGCTTGGAATATTTAAGGAGTCACAGATCTTTTCAGTATGCTTTTAAATATATGGCTTTTACCAACTTGGTGCATCAGGGCTGCTGGAAAAAGATGGATGCCAGAGTTCTATTAAGTTTTCTTTGCCCTCCTGAATGTTTTAGAGGCAGTTCATAGTCCGGCCATTGCAAATGTTCTCAAGGTAAGAAGCAAGCAACCCTGTCACTGAATTAAAGAATAAGCCTCTTTAATAGAATCTGCCACCTGGCTGCCCAGGCCATCTCTGGCCCCGTCCAGGTGGCGGAGGGCCTGGTGCACGGGGTCCATTGGGAAAGCTGCATAAAAGGATAAGATTGTAATTCGTTTACCCTTTCCTCCCAAAAAGAGATATTTTTCTATATTACATTTAAAATACCACATTGCAATTTGGAGTGTACTGCCACCACACATATTTAAAAGGCTTCCAAGATTATTTCATTATACTAATAAAAAATGTCCTATTTAAAAATCCACTTAGGTGGCTTTGATTTTGATACTTAACATGTTTAAATAGTTTTTATTTATTTTTTCTACGAAAATGTAAATGTGTAATAAAATTAGCTTAAATAGGAAATGCAAAGAAATACTCTTACCCTCTTGGAGGTGGGAAATGGGCTGGCGGCCACGGCAACATCCCTCTGGCTCTGGGGGGAAGTGGTCTGCCCCTGAAGCCCATTAAACCTGGTGGTGGGTGCGGAGGAAGAGGGGGAAAAGGAAATCCATACCTGCACAGAGAGATTGAGTCAACAGTCATCATGCATCTATTTGAACCATTGAATAATAGAGTTGGAAGAGACCAAATACTATCTTACATATTTACACAGAAGCCTTTTTTAAAACTTAAGTTGGGTGGAAAATTTCTGTGGAAATATAAAAAAAAACGCCTTTGAAAATCACCAGCACTGAAAAAAAAAAACACCAAACAAACCCGAGAGTAAGGATTTCATCATCAGATGGAGCTGGGGAACATGGGGGAAAGTGGGGATAATAATATTTTTGCATGTAGAATCATCTTCTTTGTGTGGGATTCCATATTTAAAGAAGACAAATAATTTTTTTACCCCCATCTCACAGGATTGCCTCCTCTTGCCTCAACCATCCACTTAGAGCAGTGGTTCTCAACCTGTGGGTTCCCAGATGTTGGCCTTCCCAGAAATCCTAACAGCTGGTAAACTGGCTGGGATTTCTGTGAGTTGTAGGCCAAAACACCTGGGGACCCATATCTTGAGAACCACTGACTTAGAGGATGTCTCCCCGACTTCAGTTCTCCCTGTTTCTCCACACTTCTGACAGAGTTCCCTGATTGATGACTGCCGGAAATCTGTCTGCGTCGTATGATGGGCTCCGTGGTACTTCATCTATGAACTGTTTTAGAAGTGTGTGGAAATGAAGAGGGAGATGCCGACAATTTGCATGTAATGAAGTCCTAATTGTGTCAAAGCCTTCCCCATCTTTAAGATCAGGATTATGTTCTTTTACATGAAAAAAAAATCAATTTAATATTGAATGAAATTTTACTGCTTATCTGGCAAACAATAAAAGTCAATATGACTCTTAAAAATAATACTTCCCAAAGCACCCCCCCCCCAACCTTGAAAAAAATGTTTTAAAGCAAGGGAAATAACAATGTTCTACCAAATTTCATTTCAAAAACGGCTACTTTTGGAAGCTTCCAGATTCCCGTTGTTCCTCTCTCCAAAAAGATTGATATAATGGGAAGTGAGCTTCCAGTCACTTTCATTTCCCTTGGTTTTGTTTGCCAGCAGCCTTTAATAAGTTGCAAATTAGGGAACTGATCTCTGGATCTTTTCTATACTCCTGTTGTAATTTTCCTTCTTCCAACGCAGGTTAAGTAGCTGGAACTATCACATTAAAAATCTAAGGTTAACCATTTTAAAGGTTTGAGATATATTATCCTAAAAATTATATGTCAGAAAATGCAAAAGCCATATTTATATAGCTTGCTAAATTATTCGTCAGAATAATATGGCAAATGGAACCAGATGTTTTGTATTTCATCAGCCCCAGCCAACACTAACCAAAGGTCTGCAATGCTGCATGTTGTAATCCATAATATGCAAAATTAGAGTAGCTAACTTAACATGGTATATAAACATAGCACCTTCTAATTTTTTCTAGAGATAACAATTTAGTCAAAATATAACTGAAACAAAGTTAACTACTCCAAAACTTTCCTATAGAGCACTCCAGACACTGAAACACACCCAGCCAGACTGGTTTTGCTTGCGAAACTTATTATTTCCAGAGGGGAAAAAACCAAAAACTACAAATGGAAAATCCCCACAAAAGACTCAAATGTTTCCCTACTTCTATATATCATCATCATATGAATATCTTTGCCTATTTGGCAAAGAAACCATTTTCCTTATAGTTTTTAAAAATAATTATCAGAGCCACAAATCTGGTAGATTTCACAATTCCACCATTTCCATCTAAATTTATTTCCAAAGGACAACATAATATTTTTTCTGGGGGGGAAAAGGAAGCGGAAATACACACACACTGTAAATAAAACAATCCAAATTGCAACCTTAGCTACACTGTGTATCACTCTTGATCTCAACTCTTTCTGGGTCCTTTGGAATTTTATTAACAGAAAATCAAAATTCTGCAACTCAAAAAAATTTCCTGAGTAAAAAACACAGCTGGGTGAATAAGTACAGACCACAATCAAGATTGAAACTACAGAATCACAATTTTTCAATATACATTCATTAACATTTTCAGTACTAACCGTGGAGGAGGAGGGGGAGGAGGTGGTGGCAAAAAGGGCATTCTCATCATTCCTCTTATGGGTGGGGATGGTGGGAAAAGTAGACCCCCTTGTCCTCCTCTTCGGCCTCTTGAATCTGGATATGGGCGCATTCTTCCTACTCCACGTCTTAAAAACAAACAGACGAACAAAAAAAAACCCCAATTTTTTTTTCAGAAACTGTTAAAAACAGATCTAAAAGTTGGGAATAATATAGCTAAGTACTATATTTGAAATAATGCCATGAAATACTATCAGGCATTACACTTAACAAATATAGAATATGCTGCTGAGGAGTTTTAAGATGAAATGTACATGTAATATAGGCACAAATCAGTTAACAAAGACTTCAACAAAGAAGCTTGTTTTTACAGGCCTTTTTATACCTCTCCAGCCTCCCTTCTCAGCCTCTATCTAGTTGGAAGGGTATTTTTTAGCAGCATCAACACTGGGAGGATGGTAAAGTAAGGAAAACTTTCATGTCTCTAGAAAACAATGCAATAAATCTTGAACTGGGAAAAATAATTGTACTGTAGCAATTCTATTGTAGCTGTGTATGAATTAATTCAATAGGCAAGGTGAAGAATTGCTCCTTCCCAAATTCTTTGTTGAGTTTACATATACAGAAAGACAAAGAAAAGGAGGAAGCAGATAAGCCTACCACACCAGCTATACCAAGCATATTTTAAAAAAGCATACATCTATGAGCCTGACCACCAATTACGTGATTTTAATTATTTTAATTGTTGAAATGTTTTAGCGGTTGTTTTAATGTATATATTTATTTGCTAAACATGTGTTGTATGGCATTGAATTCTGCCTTTTTGTGTGTCACTCTGAGTCCCCTTCAGGATGAGAAGGGTAGGATATAAATATGGCCAATAATAAATAAAACCACAATCACAAGATAGCAGTAAACTGGAAACATATATTATCCATGGAAGCATTTGGAAGAACTCCAAAGTAATCTCTAGAACTTTCATTTTTTTGTGCTGAGTTATGCAACATTTACCTAACCTGTTTTTCCCCCCACAGGTACATTATCATTACATTTTGAATAAATGTTTGTTTTATGGTGTATTCTACGGTTTTGTTTTTTGCCTCCACTACCAAGGTTTTTCTTGAAAAAATGATGCCTCGGGAAACCTCTACTCTGCTAATCAAGATACAATAGTATTTATATTACTTAATAATTAAAGAATATATGGAATGTAAAAATATAGGACCGATCTAGTTGCATTAGCTAGAGAATAGTATTTGCATAAAAAACACCCAAATATCTGTACATGTAAGTTGTAGTAATATTTTACTCCATTAAGATTTCATTCTCAATGTAATTCTAAGATTCTCTTTCTAATGTTTCAGGACATTTTTCTTAATATTGATGCATCGCAACCCCCGCCCCTCCCCAACAACTTCAATTCAGCACTATATTACAGTAGGTCATGATTTATTATCTTATTAATATATGAATGTCACTGGAATAGACATTCTTTAAGGTTATGGGGCGGAGCCTCTCAAAAGTTTTCTTGTCCCACTGTTACATATGTCTTATGCACTGGGAATACTAAAACACACACACTGTTCCATTCCTTTCTATGGGAGAAATATATGTACTTCCATTTCAGATTGTCAAAACCAGGGGAAGAGTAAAATTTAAAGGTAGCTATACTTACTTTGCCAGTTAGGAAGCTTGCACTCTGTCGATGCACATGAAATTGAATTCTTCTTTTGATATATAGAAAGCTACCAATTAAAAAGACAGTGGTCTTAAGACAGGTAAACAAGATATTATAGATTTGTATATCAAGGGTTACCTTATAGGTCCAAAGCCATTCAGTGCTTTGCCTCGCATTTTCCCTCTGGAATATCCTCTGGCACCTCGGCCTCTTCCTCGATCTTTTGGTCCCCTGAACGTAAGGGAAAATATGAGATGGAGCCTCTCTTGCTCGAAGAACTAACTTTTGATAAACTTAATTAGAAGGATTTGGTTTCCAGGAATATCTGATGGCTCAGAGTCAAAAGCAGAACTTGGGAGGAAAAGCATGGTAAGATTTCATGTTCTTTTTTTTCCTACTAAGCAGCCAGTGAAGAAACAGCAGCAGAAAATTTAGCCTTTTGCCTCACAAATACCACTATTAGCACCACTAATGAAAAAAAACTGCATATATTTATAAAATAGCTGTAGTTATCTTTGTCTGAGAAATATTTCCCAGAGCTACTACAAAGATTAATAAGATCTGATTAAGCATATAAATACGACAAAGTTCTTTGTATACTATATTAATAACAGATGCAACTTCAGAACTGTCTTACTTTTGCTTAGTTTCCATGACTTCTATATTTTCTGGAGCAGACTCGGTTTGATCCATTCGGGTTTCAGTTTCTTGTTCCATCTAATACAAATAAACAACAACATATTTTATCTTCAGATTTACAGATCAGTTTCTCCATAATCAAATCCTGTAAAGGCCTTAGCATAACTTTTTTAAATGTATAACAAAACAATGACAGGTTACATATCCTTTATATAAAATGCTTGGGACCAGAAGTGTTTGAGATTTCAAAATAGTTGTATTTGCATATACATGCATAATGAAACGTCCCAGGAATGAGATCCAAGTCTAAATATTTATCATTCATGCCATATAGACATAGCCTGAAGGTAATTTTATACAATTTAAAAAATTATTTTATGAATGGAAAAAGCATTAGAAAGCAAAGGTGTCACTATCTCAGTTACCCATGTGGATAATTTCAGATTTTTGGAATTATGGATATGGAATGCTTTATCTGTGCCAACAATAATGCACCACTTTGGTGATACAATTCAGCATGTCACCAGCTTTGAATCTTGTAGCAGACAATGCAATGTATAAAAAATGAAAGGTTTCCCCTAACATTAAGTCCAGTTGTGTCCGACTCTTGGGGGGAGGGTAATCATCTCCATTTCTAAGCTGGAGAGCAGGCGATGATTATAGACACCTCCAAGGTCATGTGGCCAGCATGACTGCTTGGAGTGCCGTTACCTTCCCACAGACTGGGCAGATGGGAGTTATAATCCAAAACCTGTGGAGGGCGCAGAGTTGCCTATCCCCTACACTAGGGGATTAAATTCCTTTGCAAAGCTAACATAGTTGTGTTATCACTACTCACTGCTGTTGTGAAAGTCAATGTGCTTATTTAAGGTTTAGTCCTGTTGTTTTAGGCTATTGTTTGCTCTGTCTACAAAAATCCATACCATAACAATAGCCTGGAAACTCACAGCAACCCAGTCTTAAACTTATCAGATGTCACAGGACACATTTCGATACATAAGCTGCATGGTGTTGAATAGTACTTGAACTGGAGTGTTATGTGGGTAGAATCATAGAGTTGGATAAGACCTTATGGGCCATCCAGTGCAATCGCCTGCCAAGAAGCAGGAAAATTGCATTCAAAGTACCCCTGACAGATGGCCATCCAACCTCTGTTTAAAAGACTCCAAAGAAGGAGCCTCCACCACACTCCAGGGCAGAGAGTTCCACTGCTGAACGGTTCTCACAGTCAGGAAGTTCTTCCTCATGTTCAGATGTAATCTCCCTTCTTGTAGTTTGAAGTCATTGTTCCACATCCTAGTTCTCCAGGGCAGCAGAAAACAACTTCACTCCCTCCTCCCTATGACTTCCTCTCATGTATTTATACATGGCTATCATGTCTCCTCTCAGCCTTCTCTTCTTCGGGCTAAACATAATAATAATATAATAATAAACCTTTATTTGTACCCCGCTACCATCTCCCGCAAGACTCGATGTGGCTTACAAGAGGCCGAGCCCAAAGTACATCATTAACAAAAACACAACAGACAACAAAACAATGCAACAATAAATAAGCAAGCAATAAAACAGTAACAAAAGCACGGCACTGTTAAAAACCTGTGGCAGGGCCAAATGTAATAGTTAAAATTCTAAAAATGCTGGGCATGTCCAGGTGAGGTAGACTGGATATTTTGGGAATAGAAGGGTGTGCTGATAATTCTAACTCTCACATAAAGTGCATTAGGGACAATTGCTTGGGATTCCTTAATCTGGGAAGGCACACTGGAACATCCATGTTTTCAAGCTCCTTCTGAAGACTGCCAGTGTTGGGGAGTGCCTGATGTCCTTGGGGAGGGAGTTCCAGAGTCGTGGGGCCACCACCGAGAAGGCCCTGTCCCTTGTCCACACCAATCGCACTTGCGATGCTGGTGGGATCGTGAGCAGGGCCTCACCAGATGAACATTAAGCCGCTCCTCATAGGGCTTGTTCTCCAGACCCTTGATCATTTTAGTCACCCTCCTCTGGACTTACTTAGGCGATCCCTCGTTGGACGAGTAAGATGGTCTTCCATTATGGATTTCTTGTGGGTCCGTATGTGGCTGTGGAGCCCTATTCTTGCTCTGCATCTTCTTCCGCAGTGAGGGCATTGGTTTCCAGGTGGAAGGCGGTCCCGGTCGGGGTTGGCTTGACGCGCCTTCCTCCTGGCACGTTTCTCTCTTTCACCCTCCACTCGTGCCTCCTCAAATTCTGCAGCACTGCTGGTCACAGCTGACCTCCAGCTGGAGCGCTCAAGGGCCAGGGCTTCCCAGTTCTCAGTGTCTATGCCAGAGTTTTTAAGGTTGGCTTTGAGCCCATCTTTAAATCTCTTTTCCTGTCCACCAACATTCTGTTTTCCGTTCTTGAGTTCGGAGTAGAGCAACTGCTTTGGGAGACGGTGGTCAGGCATCCAGACAACGTGGCCGGTCCAGCGGAGTTGATGTTGGAGGACCATCGCTTCAATGCTGGTGGTCTTTGCTTCTTCCAGCACACTGACGTTTGTCCGCTTGTCTTCCCAGGAGATTTGCAGGATTTTCCGGAGGCAGCGCTGATGGAATTGTTCCAGGAGTTGCATGTGACGTCTGTAGACAGTCCACGTCTCACAGGCATATAGCAGGGTTGGGAGGACAATAGCTTTATAGACAAGCACCTTGGTATCCCTATGGATGTCCTAGACATCCCAGCTTGTCAATGTCTCTCTTGAATTGTGGTGCCCAGAATTGGACACAATATTCCAGGTGTGGTCTAACCAAGGCAGAATAGAGGGGTGGCATGACTTCCCTGGATCTTCCCTGTCATCTAGTAGGATCTGATCCAGGTCACCTCTAGGGCAGGCTTGGGCCAACTTGGGCCCTCCAGGTGTTTTGGACTTCAACTCCCACCATTCCTAACAGCCTCAGGCCCCTTCCTTTCCCCCCTCAGCCGCTTAAGCGGAGGGCCCAAACCTACTCTAGGACCTTTAGTTTGGATCCCAAAAGCCTTACAGACACAAATTAAAGACAGCCAGAGAAAACAACGGACCTACCGCTTCGTACTTCCACAAAGCAGTCAGTGCCCGGCCTGTAGCAACTCCAAAAAGAGGAGGAGAAAGCCAAGCCTCCCTCCTCTTCGGGTGCAGCCCACAAACAAACGCTTTCCAAGATGGCGCCGGAAAGCAGAGTGTCTCCAGAGCTAAGCCACGCCCACCTGTGGTGAAGGGGCGGGGCTTACCAGCACAACAGGTTAGACACGCCCCCTGTCGCGAAATGGAAGGGAAACAGTGAAGCTGGGAGCCGTAAAGCGACACACAGAGAGAGACACACCACGTGCCAGTATGGGGAAGAGGAGAGCCAAGCAGCAACAGCAGCAGCTGATCAGCAGCCTGAGCAAAAAGCAAAAGAAGCACCTCAAGGATTTCGGGGAGGAACACCCTTTCTATGATAGGTGAGCAAGTCTTTTTGGAACTGGAAGCTGAAACCTTATGAGAAAAGGGGGAATGGTGGCTGGTTGCCTGCAGCAAGGAAGGGATGCATCTACTCCAGGCAAGTCAAACTTGGGCCCTTCAGGTGTTTTGGACTTCAACTCCCACAATTCCTTCAAACTACAAGAGAGGAGATTCCATCTGAACATGAGGAAGAACTTCCTGACTGTGAGAGCCGTTCAGCAGTGGAACTCTCTGCCCCGAGTGTGGTGGAGGCTCCTTCTTTGGAAGCTTTTAAACAGGGGCTGGATGGCCATCTGTCAGGGGTGATTTGAATGCAATATTCCTGCTTCTTGGCAGGGGGTTGGACTGGATGGCCAAGAACTTCCTGACTGTGAGAGCCGTTCAGCAGTGGAACTCTCTGCCCCGGAGTGTGGTGGAGGCTCCTTCTTTGGAAGCTTTTAAACAGAGGCTGGATGGCCATCTGTCAGGGGTGATTTGAATGCAATATTTCTGCTTCTTGGCAGGGGGTTGGACTGGATGGCCCATGCTTCTCTGTGTAAGCCGTTCAGCAGTGGAACTCTCTGCCCCGGAGTGTGGTGGAGGCTCCTTCTTTGGAAACTTTTAAACAGAGGCTGGATGGCCATCTGTCAGGGGTGATTTGAATGCAATATTCCTGCTTCTTGGCAGGGTGTTGGACTGGATGGCCCATGAGGTCTCTTCCAACTCTGTGATTCTATGATCCTGTTAGGAATTGTGGGAGTTGAAATCCAAAAAACCCGTAGGGCCCAAGTTTGCAAATGCCTAATCTGCACTGCAATGAATGCAGTTTGACATTACTTTAACTGTCATGGCTCATTATTAGGATTGGCAGTTTCACAAGGCCTTTATTTAACCTTCTTTGCCAAAGAGTGCTGGTGTCTCACCGAACTACAAATCCCAGGATCCCATAGCATTGAGCCGTGGCACTGAAAGTGATTTCAAACTGTTCTGTCACCGCTGGAGCTGAAATTAAATGCTTCTAAGAGAGGATTGAAGGCTTGCGTCCAGCGGGAAGCCTGGGGGCCCAAGAAAGAACCTTTAGAGGAATTTTCCCTATTAAACAGGCTTTAGGAGACTTAAGCTTAAATACAACAGTCTTTATTAATGAACAAGCAGGAATTGTAAGATTTCTAAATAGTCTATTGGCTCTTGCAGTCTTGTTTACAGGAAACAGGCACTATCTTCAAGAAACTTTGTTTAACAGAAAAATTCCCTTTTAAAGCTCCTCCCAGGCTGCTGTGAACTTAAACCTGACTGGTTTGAGTCTGCTACCGGCTGAACTGCATCTCAGAACCGAACAGATGTACCATCAGGCTTGAAATCACTTAGCTGAAGATGAAGAGCTGTTATTCCCTCCGGAGGTCCTCAGGGCTGTGAAGCTGTTCCCTGGAACCCTTTGGGAATCTGTAGAGGCCTTTAATCTGTTCTCCCCCAGGAAGTCTTAAAAGACGAAGCCTTTGCACAGGAGGAATGTCTGTACGCATCCTCTGCCTTGGCTTCCCTTGCTGTGACTAACTGAAAAATGGCCCCTTCCCTCCAAAAAGCAAAAAGGGGGCGGGACCAGGGATCCTAACTATAATTGGCAGGTGGCTTACCCTATAAATGCAAATTATAACAGGAAACCCCCTGCTGCAAAATCCCAAGCATGGGATTGCACACAAACATTTAAACACAGCAAATAAATCTGGAGCTCCTGGAACAGCTGTTCCAGAACACATACTGTTTATATATTGATCAGTTATTCCTGCCAAATGGTGTTTCACAAAACTAATACCCATCCAAGACCATCAGGTTAGCTGTAAACTGAGTAACAATGTAAGAGCTCCCGTCGGCTGTCACCACCCCCAGCTCCTCAAGGTCAATCCAGTCACTTCAAGGACCATCCATCCATCCTTTCTCGCCCTTCCTTTTTCCTTCCATTTTCCCCAGCTTCAATTGTCTTCTCTAAGCTTTCCTTTCTTCTCATGATGTGGCCAAAGTACTTCATCTTGGCCTCTACTATTCTTCCCTCCAATGAGCAGTCAGGCTTTATTTCTTGAAGTATGGACTGGTTGAATCTTCTCGCTGTCCAAGGCACTCTCAGAACTTTCCTCCAGCACCACAGTTCAAAAGCTATCTTCTATCAGTTCAAAAGCTATCTTCTATCAAAAGTATCTTCTATCTTCCTTTGCTCAGCCTTCCCTATGGTCCAGCTCTCACATCCGTAGGTTACTACGGGGAATACCATTGCTTTGACTATGCGGATCTTCGTTGCCAGTGTGATGTCTCTACTCTTCACTATTTTATCAAGATTGGACATTGGTCTCCTCCCAAGAAGTAAGCGTCTCCTGATTTCCTGGCTGCAGTCTGCGTCTGCAGTAATTTTTGCAGCTAGAAATACAAAGAGCACTTACCTGAGAGTAAACATCACTGAGTGTAGTATTTTTATTGGTCACAGAGTCCAACCTCCAGCTCAAGCCCCTTCTATGCTGCCATATAATCCAGTTTAAATCAGATAATCTGGATTGTATATGGCAGTGTAGAAGGGGCCATAGGGAAAGACCTGCATCTATTCTAAAGCATCCTCAATAAGTAGCTGTCCAGCATCTTTTTGAACAGGCATGGGCAAACTTGGGCCCTCCAGGTGTTTTGGACATCAATTCCCACAGTTGAAGGGATTGTGGGAGTTGAAGTCCAAAATACCTGGAGGGCCCAAGTTGGCCCATGCCTGCTTTTGAAGATATCCAGGGGAAAAGACTCCACCACCTCTGGGTAATTGGTTTTATTGCTGAGCCGCTCTCGCCATCAATAAGTTCCTTTTATTTTTCATCAAAAGCTACCCCATTCAGTTAAAACAATTAGTTGACATTTTTGTGATACAAAGGGCCCTTCCACACAGCCATATAACCCAGAATATCAAGGCAGATTTATTTATTTACTTTATTTATTTATTTACTGCTTTTCTCATTGGGGGGGGGGGCACTCAGAGCTGTTTCCAATATATTCATGGCAAAATTTAATGCCTTACAAAGTATGAAAACCTAACATAAAACAAAAGTAATATAAAACTATAAATTAAATCATAAAATGTATCTATGTTTATATATTAAAACAAGATATTAAAAACGTATTAATGTAAACCTTGAGCATGGTCCAGGCTGTTCCAGTATCAAATAACAATTGCACATAACCCATGTTCACTTCTTGTTCTGCTTACTGCCCAAATGCTTGGTTCCACAGCCATGTTTTGGCTTTCCCCCCCTGAAGGCCAAGAGGGAGGGCGCTGATCTAATAACTCATTGAACTGAGTTATCTGAGTCCACACTGCCATATATCCCAATTCAAAGCATATATTGTGGGATTTTATTCAACTATGTGGAAGGGGCCTTCTTGTAATCCGCCATGAGTCGCCCTCGAGCTGAGAATGGCAGTATAGAAATATAGTAAATAATAAGGACCATCATGTTATAAACTTTTATCTGCCTCCAGATTAGTTGCATCTCACTACTCTTTGCTTCCAAATTCTACTTAGGGTTTCTCATATCTTTATGAGGAGATTGTGCTTTCTTGAAGGCAGTTGGAGATTTCAAAAAATATTCCCCTTCCAGATAGCTTGATTCTTGTTATTTTCCCACAGTTCCATTTTCTATGAAATGTAGCTCAGCTAAGTCTGTTGAACAATCTTCTTCAGCACTTTGAAAACTCTTTTGTATCCCCAGCAACTGTTTGTTCCAGTAGTAATTGTTATACAATATTTCCACAATTGTGTTTAGTGATACTGTGTTAAACCCAGCTGTCCAAAATGTACACTAATTTTGCTGTAATTATTAAGACTGAAGTGATATATCAATCCCCACAATCTGTAAGATAGCAAAAATAAATTAACTTCAATTATTTCTTTTCAGGGATTCTGGGAAAGACAAACCAACTCAAATTTGTGAACTGGTAGGTGCTGCTATCATCTTCTTTTTTATATTATTCTTACCTACTAAAAATTAACTGGAAATGTTAATGCATAAAATTTGGTTAAATCTGTTCAATTCTTATTCTTGAATCTTTTAGCCATTAATAAAACAGTTAATGCACCCTTAGTATCATTTTTGACTTTGATGGCTTCATCTCTGATTGTGGAATTATTTATGGCTCTTAAGCCAGAGTCTCCTCCATTCCTAACCATTATGCACATGAGTCCTGAAGAGATGGGAGCTGTAGTCTGCAGAGTTGGAGGTCAGCCAGGCTATGGAAAAGTGTCGTAGCAAGCGTGGTTGTGTAGGAAAATGTGTAAATGTGAAAACTAAAACACTTTTTAAAGTGTGTGGGAACCTGAAATAATTGCAAAACTAGGATCTCACTGATTACACACATTGACTCCAGTGCATTTTCTTCTCCCCTCTCATTCAAGTTCACTTGTATGCCTTTACCTTGAACTCTTGTTTCTTGTTGAAGAATTCTAGATTTTTCAGTTCAGAAGCAGAGTGAAGTTAATAGCTGTACATGCTCATAAGATGTGGGCTTCATTTTGAGTTCATTGAAATAATAATAATAATAATCATTATTTATATCCCAGCGTATCTCCCCAGGACTCAGGACGGTTGAAGTAAAACTCAATTTTTTTTACAGGTGTATTGTTGTTGTCATCCCTAACTGGCACAAGTTATGCACTGTGCTCTCTAGAGTAGAATTTGGTTTCCCGGTTTCTCTTAATACTGGAAGGTAAGGAATAGGATCTGAAGGACTTGCCAGTAAACA